GTGTGTGGCGGCGAATGGAGGAATTTGGGGTGTTGTAGCCTGCATCAAAGTGAGAGGAGGTTGAGATGGGTGCAAGTATTGGATTGGGGCACGGATCCTGACCAGGATGCCCCGAAATTGTTGAATGACCAAGGTGTGTTCGGATGCCATGGGACCACGAATGTTACGTGGATCCCCCATTGGCGAGCATTAGTTGGCTCAGGTAAAATTCAAGGAATCTCTAGAGAGCTGCCTGACACGAGAGTAGTGGTCCCGTCGTGTTGCGGCGGATGGCTTGACCTGCCGGCTCGCAGGTCGAGACCCTCCGTGGCACGTCTAGAGCACTGTTATGGTTTACTGCTATAAAGTCTGCAGATACTACTATAAAGTCAGCAGATACTACTATGGAATTAGTAGTTACTACTATAGTCAGTAGATACTACTATGTAGTCATTAGATACTTCTGCAGAGTCAGTAGTTACTGCGAAAGAGTCGGTAGATACTACTATAGTTGATATATTCTACCGTAGAGTCGGTAGATACTACTATAGTCAGTAGATAATACTACAGTCAGTAGATTCCACTAAAGTCAGTTTATACTGCTGCAGAGTCCAGTAGTAATGACTATAGAGTCAGTAGATACGGCTATAGGGTCAGCAGATACAGCTCTAGAGTCAGTAGATACTGCTTTCGAGTCAGTTGATACTACTGGAGAGCCAGATACTACTATAGAGTCACGAGAAACTTCTCACTCTATTGTATGTAGGGTCTGTAGGTATATATGCCTACGGGGGAGGGGGGTAAAAATATTTTTTGAGGGGGGGGGAGGTCGACAATTTTTGGAAACCGTTTAGATCAACTATTTACCCACCACTTTCTATAACTTTTTTGATTCAGGACTGCTTCAAGCCTTTTATAATTTTGTTGATGGACAAATGGACAAATGGAATGCCGGGCTTTCAACATAGCTTAGTACTTGTGTATGTATATGTTATGTTTTTAAGACAAGTTTAGAAATATATTTTTCCACCGGGCAACGCCGGGTACTTCTCGCTAGTAGTAAATATTTTTTTTAACATACCTTGTGTCCTGATGCTAGCTCGCTTGTCAGAAGGGGGGCAAGGAGTCCCCATAATTGAACCTTATGGCGGGACACCGGGGTCACGAATAAACGGAAGTCAAAATCGTAATGAATTTATTTTTGGCGACTCCGTCCCATCGCGCACATAAACGCCGCGACCCACCTGACGCGGATCATTCTGTTGTCGTGTCGTCCAAGCGCAGCAACGAGGACGAATGCGCAGAAGAAACAAAACTTTGAAACGTTGATTAGCGCATCGTGTAGAGCTCGTCGAGGGAAATAGATCGCCGTATCGTTCACCTCCAACAGGCATAAAATGACGTCGCAACGCAGTTTATGTGAGAGCCGGGGGCTGATGGGACCCCGGGATCCCGCATTAAGGCTCAATTGCACACAGACACACACGGGGGGCATACGCGTGCAAAGTCAACAATCTCTTATCGAGCTTTAACAGACTTCGGGCAAGTGCTGTTAGCGAGTAACGCTTTTGAAGACCGGGCACATCACACGGGGGGAGGGGTGGGTTTCCACTACCATGCCCGGCCGCCTTTGTCTCCCCAGTGACGATGTTTACACAGTGCATCAGGTACTCATTTGTGGCCGGGTCGACCTAGGGGAGGCCCCCAGGACCAGTTCAGATAATCATCACTGATGTTGACGGAGTATGATTCGAACCCGGTTGGCCAGGTTCGTGGCGCAGCACACTACACTACCACAATGGGACATGCAAACAGTCTCCATTCGCCACTCAGTGGCGGTGACCTCCCGATAGTGCCTGCGTCAGGCCATACACGAAGGCGACGACAAAGATCCTTCATTTAACCTGTAAAAGACTGTTAGAGAGCACCTATGAAGGCCAGAATGGCACACGAGGGGGTGGGTGGCCAGCACCACGCCCTGGCCGCCTTTGTCTCCACAGTGGGTAGTCAATTGAGGCCGGGTCGACCTAGGGGAGGCCTAGGACCGGTTCATACGCGAGGGCAGGCACACACACACGCGCATCCTCAAGCTAACACACGCACATTAAATCTCACGGCGGATCGCTGCACTAAACAAAAGTTATGCGGTTTAAAAGTCGAAAGGTTAAAAAACATCTTATGGAGGTTCTTTCGTAAGTGCGGGTGCTCGTAAGTCAGGTGGTTCATAAGTCGGGGAACTGCCTGTTATTATTACACTCTTATTGAAGCTACCGTGTTCTCTGCTTATTTTCTTTGGAATCTGACGCTTAATATCTTCGGATATACGAAGCTTTAATGAGGTGATATTTTCTACACACTCGTCTACTCGCGTGGGAATTCAAGATTTCATAAGAAAAAGAATTATGATTGCTATCGCTAAACTAATTACGTAGTTATAATCTTAATAAAGTATTTTCGTTTGTCATGCCCTTTCCGACTTGTGGAGGGCAACAGGGTTACCGTATTTTCCCGCATATAACCCGCGGGGTATACCACTTTTTACAAACAAAACAAGACCCTGCGGGGTATATGGAGGTGCTGGCTATCCCAAAAATATTTTACACATGTGACATGTCATAACTCGTTTAATGTTTTCATGGTAGGACTATCCACTATGCAACACTTACCTTTGACTAAAGCGCTGCTGAATAAACCACTTACACTAAAATTGTACATGTTATCACGTTTTAAATTATTCGAATTGTTTGTACAATGAAACGACAATGTTTGAAGTGGGCGCAATACTTTCAGTGGCTGTAGGGGGGTGCGAAAGTTTCAGCTGAGGCTATGGATTGCGAAATGGGAAGGGCCTTAACAAGCATCTACCAGACGCGGAATCATAATTGCTGAGTCCCTTAGGCCGCTGCTATTGGCTGAGCACTGTATAGTCGCGACCATGAGCTTTGGTTCAAACTTCCAATGGCTTTGTTGCCAGGAGGCAATGGCGTTACCGTAGTGCCGCTATTGTCTGCGCAGTGCGCAATCTACCAGTGCTAAAACTGTACAGGGGTAACTACCGGTCCAGTAGCTATAATGAGGTCGAATGCTGGTAAGCCTAACAGTACGCTTACTTACGGTACTTATCTACCAGTTATGTGTTACTTATTGGATATTTACTTGTTACTTATTTACTGTTTTAAGTTTACTCGCTTCCGGTGTGTTTTCTTTGTGCATGTTATGATTTTAATGTTAACAATTGATAGTCGAATGTATTACAAATGTAAACTTTGTATTAATATGATGGAATTAAGCTGCGGTAACAACACTAAAGATATGAATGCATGCGGGGTATATGGAGGTGTGGGCTATCTGAAATTTGTTTTACACAAAACGCTCTTTTTACGGGGTATATGCGTCTGCGGGTTGTATGCGGGCTAAATGCTGGAAAATACGGTATACTAAAGTTGATCGAGCAGGTGAGAACGGTTATGGTTTAGAATTAAATGCCGTAATGCTATTCCTGTTTTAATTGCTCAAATGTTCTCATTATGATTGTTGATATCGGTGCTTTAAATTAAAATGCTAAATCTGTGCACGTTGAATACGGTCTCGTGATATGCACTGCTGTCCATATGCGCACATTATAGCATTGCAGTCTATATGTCTTATTACAGTCTTTCATACAGTACAGTAATGATCGCAAATATGACAAGTGTTCTAAATGTTATTTCACGACTTTGCAATCGGCATGATCGTTATCGGGAGGTAATGACAGGGTAGTCAGCCTACAGTGCGAATGCACTAGTGGCCACGGGAGATAATGACAGGGGAGTCAGCTTGCAGTACGAATGGACTGGTGGCTATGGAATTAACGAGAATAGGTGCGTGGCCAGGTGATGGAAGAGGATGGTGGAGTCTGCTGGTAGAGCTAGCGTCAAGAACCAGCAAGAAGGTTCGGGAATGGGGGCGTGGCCTTGGTCCACATAGAAGGGAGGTGAGCAGGAGACTCGGCTGTTGGAGTGGGGTCTCTACCTGTTCAAGTGAACGTGTTTTCAATAAAAGAAACCCATCTCAAGAAAGTGTCAAGTCGTCATTATAACTGGTATCAGAAGTGGGATCTTGTCATCATGCCACGGTATAACCGTTGAGGGAACCCACCGGAAACGACTTCTGATGAGGAAAAGAGGGAGCGGAGACCCCCTTCAGCAAGCCCTGGGCAGCGGGGATCCGGTGAACAAACCTGCAGGTGAGGACGGAGCTGCGGCGGCAACGAGGAGGGACGCCGACCGACAGTAACAAACTACAGATGGATGGGACGAGGTAGCGGGACGTCTGGACTGCCTGTTGGCAGCAGTCTCGCAGCTCACCGTACAGCTTGTCGCAGCTGCGGCAAGATGGGGAGCAGCAGAGCATGGTGGGGGTCCCAAATGGCGGCCGAGTAAACTACAGCTCCAGGGGCATGGGAGAGAGCAACTGACCATCCACGACGGATGACTCCCGTAAAGGAGTTTGTGGCAGCGGGAGGTGACTGGGGTGCCTTCACTCGAAGGTTCGAGGCGGCGTATAAAGCCATCGGATGGACGAAGCGCTGGGAGCCCTGCCTACCACCCTTGATGACGACGCCCTCACGGTTCCGAGCTGTGCCAGAGGGGCGAAGGGCTACACTAAAAAGGCATATGGTGAGATGGCGGCTGTGTGGTGTGAGTGGACTAGTGGCCACGGGAGGTAATGACAGGGGTCAGCCTCCAGTGTGATTTGACTAGTGGCCACAGGAGGTAATGATAGGGGAGTAAGCTTGCAGTACGAATTGACTAGTGGCTAGGGTAATGATCGAGAATAGGAGCGTGGCCAGGTGACAGAAGAGGACAGGAGAGTCTGCTGGTAGAGCAAGCGTCTAGAACCAGTGAAAAGGTTTGGGAATGGGGGCATGGCCTCGCACTGATTATAAGGGAGATGCGCCAGAGACTCGGGGCTGTTGCAGTGGGGTCTCCACCTGTTCAAGTGAATGTGTCTTCAACAAAAGAAACCATCTCAAGAAAGTGTCAAGTCATTACAATTTTATGTACAAGGGTTGACATAGGCAAGCCATCATTGTCATATCTACAGGGTCATGAAAACAACTTGTGTAAACAAGCTTTTCAATGCACACACTTTTGTTTGCACTCTAAAGTAGAAAATCAATTGACTTCCAAATGACTCACATTTGATGTGCTTAATAAAGTGGGTGACTTACATAAAGAAAAGGAAACAGAAAAAAACGCCACATACTTTTATTCAGCACTTGAAATGCGATTAATTCTGGCGAAAATAATTTTTGTACTTGAGAGTGCAAATCAAATTGTGCATTATCAATTTTTTACCATTGTACTTCTGTCCATTGAGGAATAGTGCTTAACACTGCCTTATCTTGTTTTTCAATATATGCGAGAGGCTGAATGGCAAGTGTAGCATTAGTGTGAGGAACACGAATTCATAGCCAGCAGGGTCATGAATATAATGAACACTTTCCAAAAGTAGTCGAGCGAATGGACATGGAGAAATTAACTTAATTCTATTGGAAAACCCCCAGGTTGGCATGATGCAACATACCCAGAGGGAAAGGCTAATCACAAAGACTTAACCAAAAATATAAGTTAGGAGGTATAAATATCTAGACGAAGTAGGCCCATATACTTAATTACAAACTGATAAGACGCCCCCAATTTAATCCTGAAGTAGCATATTAATGGACAATGCAAACAAAACGAGTTATTTTAAACCACGTGCCATGATCTGATTTTAAATAGTATTGTTTTTTTACAGAAATAAAGTAGAAAGCCTGGAAGTTTATTATGAACCGGTATGCATCTCGGCAGCGTGCAAGAATAGTTTAAATGAATTTCAGAAATAATTGTTAAATTATTTCAGACTAAAGCAGATATTTTAAGACCCCAACGGCTCCAACTCTGCATCGGGCGATTTCCCGATTTCTGGAATCAGGAACGGTGGATGCAAAGCGTGTTGGCAGACTTCGAAACCAGTAGATCTCAAGACTTCTATTGAGCAACGGAGTGTCAATAAGAAAGTGATGGGAAAGGCCGTTGAAAGAGAACGGATTTTCCAATGCAACGCGGGCGGTCATTTACAAGATATTATTCTTCATGCATAATTATATCGAATCTCCATGAATTAATGTTTTCCATCATTTAAGCGTTTGTTTTTCATTTTTTTACAAGTTGTAGGCAAAACAAATTGGGTAGTTACTTACGGATCACCCTGTATAAATGATGGGTTATAATTATATGAACAAGACTTGGGGAATGTTCTGGTAAAGTGGGGATGCTTGTCTGTAAAATGAGAAGGGGAGAGTTTGCAAGAAGCCATTTGACAAAATCTTCAGAAGTTAATGTTTCTGGTAATGGACGTTTATTCCATGCTTCTATACAAATGTTCTACCACAAACTTGTGATGGGATAAATCTATTTTCACTACTTGATAAAATACATTTACAAATGACCGTAGTCAAATGTTTTTTTCATAAAAGCAGTATCAGCAATTCAACCTGCATGGTAATTACTTCTCAAAATGTCAAGACAGTGAGTTATAAGCCACTGCAGAGTTTGACTCTAGTCATGAATAATCAAGAATCAAGCCATAATGGTCATTATTTGTCCTGGAAAGCCTCAACAAAATCGCAACAGGTTTTTTTCACATTAGGATAATCAATTCCTTTTAGTGTTTTGTATGTGGGATACGTGCCAGGAGAAAACCGGCACGTGTGGAGAAAGAACACTCAAATTGCAAACATCGACATGGAAGAAACGTCCTATACAGGCAACCCCGGCACACCTACGGCCTACTTTGTTGCTGGACGCAAGTCGAGCCCGTCTTAAGTCTAACCCCTTATTTCCCATAGTCGCAATGTTATCAATTGGGGCTCCATTTCTGGAAACCCATTACATACCATAAAAATACCAAAATTGACCACAAAAGTAAATGAAAATAACCCTAACATTGTAGTTTAACATAACTTTTACAAAGTCATTAAACATAATATAAAAATGTACTTATATTATACTTTTCTCCATTACATTTCCTCTTCTCAGACACAGAAGAGGTCGAAGATTCGAGTTTTCATCTAATATGGGGGGGGGGGGGGGTCTTACAATAAGAAAGGTCGTAAAAGTGGGGGGTTGCAAGTCGAGCCGTCCAAAGTTGGGAGTCACCTGTACTATTATACACTTGCCATCTCGACCAGCAGGCTGGGATTCTCTCAAATATGAGAAACTTTGCGTAATTCCGACCTTTTTGCTGAAAGGTAAATTTTGGCCAAGACATTACCAAGTTATGCCGTAAAATCGCCGTGCTGCAGCGAGGGTTTCATTGGTGCTTTCTTGAACCATTAACAAACATCCCAGTTCCAACAGATGCGTATCACTTCGAGCTTTTAAGCAAAAAAAAAGTAAAACACAATCTGCAATGACTACTTGCGGTCACACCACATTTTTTTTTTATATAAACAATAGAGCAGGAACACTGCTACAGGTGAACAGTGCAGACGAGAGGTGTTCACTGCTGCCATACGCATTACACAATGTTGACAATGCCTTGTGTGGTATAGAGTCCAACTTACAATCTTACACAAATATCCATAACTGTACACTACTAGAATTCTGCATCAGGCCAGATACCCTTGAGTTGCCCATGGGTGATCCACAAGCTGGTTTATTTTGGGTCTGAACAAAGTCTGTATTATTGTGTTTTGGGTGCGGGTCACGTTCATTGTAGGTCCTCTGCGACAAACCAGCACACTTTTTTTTTGTACACGGCACTTTAGCTTTCATAACAGAACTTTAAACATTGGGTGACACTTTTCAAACTTGAAATGTACATTTTCACTTTCATTTAAACATCTGACTCAAAGTAACATTGTAAGTATACTATTGGCAAAGTACTATACGCCAGGTGTGGTTAGCTCCTGCCAATAGGTCGTCTTCAGGCACGGAGGCCTTTTAGATTTAATGGATGTTGGTGCTCAAACACCGCGAGAATATAACCAGATGTAAATTACTGAATATTTGTTACAGTTTTGGGTTAGGATGCAGGTCAATAAGTTACACCTGTGCAGGACTCTGCTGTACATCACTGATATTAATAAACAGAATGACGGTTGTATCATGCTCTCAGCCTGTTTCCACACCAGTGCACCACCACCCAATTGCGTGTAAGCTGTCATCAGCAGGTTAACTTTATATTTTGCCACATGCCCATGACAAATCGCTTCTATGGAGGAGTTTCACAGTCACAGGATATCATTGTTCCAGATGCAAGCCACAATCGTGGCATCGCAGTCACTTTCCCTCGCCAGTCGCCTTGCACAGTTCACTCTCCGCCTTCTCCTCCATGTATTTCTGGAGAGGAAAATCATCATCAGGTGTGCTGGCAATATATACATCAGCAATAGTTTATTATACTTAAACACCATCGGTAACGATCTAGCTAAACTCTTGACACACAAACAGCATTCACACACACCTTTCATGCCACAATCAACTTCCAGTGTTGCATATTTACCGAGATAATACATTTAAAGCAATTACCACACTCATCGAGCAGCTGAAATGACCTTATAAAAGAGCCATCCAGTATGGAGGCCTGACTTAAAAGCAGACACAAAGGTCCATGGGTCGTGTCTGTAAATGTACCTCAAATCCAATGGTTTCTATTTTAAGTCTCTGGGTTCTATGTTCATCTGTGTGTCTGACAGTAAGCCAGTCCTTTGTAAGTGTATGGGTTATCTGTTTTGAGTCCTAACTAGAACTAGGCATCAATAACAATACAATTGAAGTTCTCTTAGAAAATAATCAATGACCTCACAACATCAGCTATCTACTGTCCATCTGCTTGACTCTGATCTCTATGTTAGTCACCAGCCACGAAATCTGGGATTCATTCTTGACTCTAAGCTCTCCTCACATTTCCTTTACGTGCAAGACCACCTTCGCAAAATTTATCGTATCCGCGACTGTTTCTCCAATTTGGCTGCAGAAACAATAGTTAATGAATTTGTAAAGTCCAGGCTAGACTACGACAATTCTCTGTTATTTAGTCTGTTGTCTCTCATCCAACGTTTGCAGTACGTTCAAAACGCAGTTGCAAGAGTACCCACTCATAACCCGTAAGCGTCATATTGTAATGTTGTGACCCATCCCGACTAGACATCTGTGAAAAAGAGCTTTATAACTCAGATTCCTCCAGTATAAATATGCTGATATTACCCCCATTTTACGATCCTTCCACTGGCTATCTATTTAGTCCAGAATCGCCACAAAGATTGCCCTCGCGGTTTTACAACATTCTTCACGGGCTAGCCCCTGCCGATCTTTCTCCCCTCCCCTGGGTTCTACGTTCATCTTCTCTAGGTCTGCTCTCTACCCAAAAAAGAAAACTTAAAACCAATGGTGGACGAGCTTTCTCATGCGCAGCCCCATTAGTCTGGAATACCCTCCTCCCAATGATGTATCCAACAAATCATTTCCATGATATTATTAAAATCTGACGAAAGGCATTTTTAGTCATCCAGGAATACGCTGAAAAATTAGTTACATAGTGGACATTTGACCGACTGGTATAAATTAGTCTAAACTTCTTGGCACTCCACCGGCCTTCCTGTGAAGGTTTTCTGGCTTGGTTGGGAAGTTGGGATTGTGGTCTAGGATGTGTAGACCTCATCGACTAATCTCTCTGTTGTAAAAAAATGATGCTGTTGTGTCTTTGAGTTTGGTGCCATTTCTTTATTTACTTATTCATTTTGTTTTTGGTAGTACGGTTTTTATTTGCTTGGTATTGACTATATGTGGGTTTTGGTGCTTTTTTATTTAATTAATCTACAGCATCATGGGCCGCGATTAGCATGAATGATTCTTTATAAAAATCTTATTATTAATTTGGATGGCTGCAGTTGTGACACAAGATGCCTTGTGTAACGTTGGAGGAAATTTGACGAGCCCTGCCACCGGCACTGGCCAGATGGATTGGTGGCACTGCTAGTTTTCATTCACCGATCGCAGTACAGTGCCCATGATAAATCGTATGGTGTAATAAACGCACAGGCGGAAGCAGTCAACATTATCATCACGAATATACAACCGATTAATTATTTCACCGGAGTCTGATGCTACTAAACTGACCACCCCCTTCCCACGCTGGACTGACGTGCCTGGTAGTTCAGGTGGTGCTGGGTGCTTCTGCAGTGCTTAATCTTGGCAACTTCACTATTGGTGGAGAGGATGCAGCAGAGCTTGCAGTAGAAGCTGCGGGTGATGTACTCCCAGCCTGAGCACAGCAGATGGCTTTTGTTAAAAACACCACGACCGCCACCAATGACTTGCTCGGCCGCCCGTCGGCCTGCGGCGTGGCGAGAGCAAACTCCCTCATCTGCGGGTCTCCAGCAATACAAGAAAACCTTGGCAAACGCGGCGATGGCGTTCCTGGAAGAGGCCACGCTGGGCAAAACTACGTTTGTCAAATAACAGACCTTGCGGAGTCCGAAAATATCACCCCCTCCCTTATTTGTTTAACAAATTGTACGTGATTTTCCCCCAACTTGGTATCGCATTCAAATTACAGCATCACCATATTCCAGCACCAAAACTCGTGCGGTCTCACCCTTTAATCATGGCCCCAAGCGCAAGTTGAGTGGTGGTGATTGTTGTGAGAAAAAGCAGAGACAAGTAATGACTCGAGTGCGAACGGTGCAGTTGTTAGATAGGATTACGAGAGGCGAGTGCTGTGTCCGTTGGAAGGTGCAGTACTGTGGTGTGAACAAATCAACCGGGTATTATTTATATACCATGTGTGTTCTTTGTTAATATTTTTGCGTGATAATGTAATGCATAGTGTACACAACACGCTCGTTCATAAAGCAAATGTTGACACAGCGTCGCAAGCATCTAGCCATACACTAATTGAGGACGATAGTCATACGGACGGCTAGATGGCAAATCATTCGGGTTCAAGTGACAGCGTTCGGGGCGAGCGTCAGGATGTTAGATGCGAGTGTTGGGCGTGAGTGCCTCTGTGCGGAGAGAGTAATGTCTTGAGGTGAAATTAAAAAATTAAGCGTGTACACATGCGTAACAAATGGAGAGCAACTCTGCATCCTTTAGTGCAGTAAGAAGGGCAGAAATCATGTAGAATTAGTTATATAATGAGGGAGGGGATGATCATTTCAGACCCAGGAACGCAATCCATTTTTCCCCGAGGTCAATTATTTGTCCGATTAGCATAGTTGGCTATGTAATGTGTAAAAGAAGTTCAACATAAATACATAGTCGAACGCGGTTTTGCCCAACACGGCATTTTACAGGAACGTAATCCCCCCCCCCCCGCGTTCGGCGAGGTTTTCCCATAAATATGTTTATGTTAAATACACAAATGTTTATAATTGTATTGTAGATTTTGTTATTTATAACTTCATTTATATATTCAGGTGCAAGCCTGTAATGGCAGCCCTCTGAAGGCAACTTTGGGGTCACAGGCAATGTTCCGAGCGCTGAAGTCTCACCAGGAGGGTCCTGCTGCGGGGTGTTTTTGTGCTCAGACGGCCCCATTTCATTTGCCTGGCTTCTGGCTTCATTGACTGGCGGACTATCCCCTTCATGATGCTCAGTGCCTAAGGAAGGGACAGCGAGGAGAAAAGCGGGAATGGAAATTTGAGAAGAAAAATAATTAAAAAAACACGTGAATTTCCTCCACTGCGTTGCAACAGACAACAAAAAAAACCGTTGCTCAAACATCTGGCCAATGTCCACACAGCATCTCGGTAACGGACCTTCTGAATACATGCCGCAAGCATTCACATTCGTACGTGGCCTGTTGCAGACAGGCTGGGCATGAGCCATTCCCGTAACGAGGACTAAATCACAGGAACATGTTCACAAACTCGTTATTCACGAACTTGCTATCTGCAAATTTTGGCCATCCGCGAATCGCATCTGGAACTCTACACGACTGCATCGAGAGAAAGTGATCAGATAAAAATTAAAAGACGGATAAAGTGATGAGATAATTTGCATGTATTTAATAGCTTATTTTCGTAATTATTTCAAGTAAATCATTAGAAAGATAGATGTTTGTAGGCCAATATCATTATTCCCAAAATGTACTATTCACAAACATCTCCGGAACGTATCCCTCGCGAATAACGAGGGAATATGGTACTCAGTGTCTCGCACTCACCGGGAGACTGCCTCTCCGAACTCGGAGCATCTTTCGGCATCCTCGCATCCTCTACCTGGACCCTGGACTTCTCAGCTGCCGGCTCCTCCTCTGGGAAGGGAAGGAGAGCAACACCAAATTTAACATGGTGGCTTTTTTGTGTGCAGTCATTCTCACTGTGTTGAAATAATTAGCTTTTCTATCCTTGAGAACCTGGTTTTATCACAAGTGGCTGCCCAGACTAAAAGCCAGCACCACTAACAAGCAAACACACTCCGTTTCATACCCTGTAGCCTGGTGTAAAGATTGTTTACATTCCTTGTCAATATACTCCTGAATGAAGGCCTCCCATGCCATGTTAGTCACAGAGGGTTGTTTGACCCAAGTTCACAACACTGTCAGGATGACGAAGGAGACCCAGAACTAGTCCATCCATCACTCGCCAGTGATGTTAACCTTGGCTGGGAAGAGACCTGCGCATCACTGCGTTTAAAGAGTTAATCACTGCGTCACCGCTCAATCCTTATATTCCTCAAATATTTCTCAAGTCTCCTGTGGTGGGGAGATGTTATGTCTCGATGGGCTCTCACTTGGTTTAAACAATGCTTGAATACACAGAGAAGCTCGCTGTAATATTTTATATGCAGAAGAACCAATTGTGGTGCACGAGTAAGAATCATTTCATAAGAGGTTTTTTGGGTTAGAACACCTAAATATATAAACGTGTCGTTAAACCCTCCACCACCCAACACAGCCAACTAGTAAGTCTTGTCACAAACAGAACATGCCAATTCGTCACAAGTACAGCACACCGGTGCGTTGGAGAGCCAAGCCACAACATTTAGCGGCATCTGGTACTAGGAGGAGAGCATACAAATAGGCACAGATATCAGTACAACACAATTCAGCTGTCTACATTATACAAGATACAGCCATCGGCACAATAAAACTATCATTACCCATGATCTATACACTATTAGATTAACGCCTTCCCAACTCGTCACAGTGGAATATACAGCCGTGAATGCAATACACAATTGGCATTACAGCAATTTTCTGGATTGAGGGGTAAGTTTTAAAATAATGCTTACTAGAAAGCTCTCCTTCTGAGGCCTTGGCATCTTTTGGCATGTGATCTTCCTTTGGCTGCTTTGTGTCCACGCCAGACTGCTTCGTGTCTTCCCCAGACTGTTTTGTGTCTACCCCAAACTGCTTTGTGTCTATGCCAGGCTGCTTTGTGTTTTCCCCAGGCTGTTTTGTGTCTACCCCAGACTGCTTTGTGTCCACGCCAGACTGCTTTGTGTCTACGCCAGACTGCTTTGTGTCTACGCCAGGCTGCTTTGTGTCTACGCCAGGCTGCTTTGTGTCTACGCCAGGCTGCTTTGTGTCTACGCCAGGCTGCTTTGTGTCTTCCCCAGACTGCTTTGTGTCTACGCCAGGCTGCTTTGTGTCTTCCCCAGACTGTTTTGTGTCTACCCCAGACCGCTTTGTGTCTACGCCAGACTGCTTTGTGTCTACCACAGACTGCTTCGTGTCTACCCCAGACTGCTTCGTGTCTTCCCCAGACTGCTTTGTGTCTTCCCCAGACTGCTTTGTGTCTACGCCAGGCTGCTTTGTGTCTTCCCCAGACTGTTTTGTGTCTTCCCCAGACTGCTTTGTGTCTACGTCAGACTGCTTTGTGTCTACGCCAGACTGCTTTGTGTCTACCACAGACTGCTTCGTGTCTACCCCAGACTGCTTTGTGTCTTCCCCAGACTTTGTGTCTACCCCAGACCGCTTTGTGTCTACGCCAGACTGCTTTGTGTCTACGCCAGACTGCTTTGTGTCTACCCCAGACTGCTTTGTGTCTACGCCAGGCTGCTTTGTGTCTTCCCCAGACTGCTTTGTGTCTACCCCAGACTGCTTTGTGTCTACCCCAGACTGCTTCGTGTCTACCACAGACTGCTTCGTCTCTTCCTCTGGCTGCTTCGTGTCTACCCCAGACTGTTTCGTGTCTACCCCAGACTGCTTCGTGTCTACCCCAGACTGCTTCGTGTCTACCCCAGACTGCTTCGTGTCTACCCCAGACTGCTTTGTGTCTACGCCAGACTGCTTTGTGTCTACGCCAGACTGCTTCGTCTCTTCCTCTGGCTGCTTCGCGTCTTCCACTGCCTGCTTTGTGTCTTGGTCTGGCTGCTTAGTGTCTTCTACTGCCTGCTTTGTGTCTTGGTCTGGCTGCTTAGTGTCTTCCACTGCCTGCTTTGTGTCTTGGTCTGGTGGCTTAGTGTCTTCCCCTGGCTGCTTCGTGTCTTCTTCTGGCTGTTTCATGTCTTTCTTGGCTGTCGGCTCCTCTTCACCCTGCTCAGATCCTAGGAGTTGGGAAGACAGTTGTTATTGTTTTATATTTTTATTCTTTAATTGTTTCCCTTCTACGTGACTTTACCGAAAGAACCAAGAACATGAATCCCTGCAGTCACGAAAGCTTTAAATCAAAATTTAAGACAGTTGTTAGTTTGTGGTATGGCCCCTCAATTCTGCTACAGCAGAGGATACAGACTAATAGCTAATAACCTTTAAATACACTGTCTAGGCAAGTGCTGTTAGCGAGCACTTATGAAGGCCAGGACAGCACATGAGGGGATGGGTGGCCAACACCACGCCCGGCCACCTTCGTCTCCCCAAGTCTGATGTTTAGACACTACACCTGGTACTCAATTAACGTGGAGTCAAAATCTTGGGCAGGCTCAGGACCGGTTCAAATATTCACCACTATTATTGGTCATGAGCTAAAATTAAACTTGGGTCGCCAGGTTTGGAGCGCAGTGAACTAATCACCGCACTACCGCTCCCCAGAGGATGGGCACAGCAAGACTCCCACAGAGTACAGCGAGACACCCACAACATCAGCAGCAGAATAGAATGAATGAAATTGGTCAGGCATGGCAACACACATGCAATCCAGCACTGTGGAAGCAAGGGAGCATGGATATTAACAATTGAGACAAGGGTGTAAATAAGGATCTGTTGTGTGGTTAGGGTATTCTGGGAGTTAAGGCTTTTGTCAAGTTGTCAAGTGATATGAGAAGACTTGGGAAGGTGTTAAAACTGTGACATTTCACAGGCACAGCCCATTTATAAATGTCTCACACTCACCAGGTACCGTCCCCTCCGAGGTCCGTGCATCTTCAGGCCTCAGGGCTTCCTCAGCCTGCCTCTTGGCTTCTTCGCCTACCTTCTCTTCAACCTGTTCAGAGGCACGGACTGGGGCTGGAACGGAAGACACCGGGGTGATGAGTGAGGCCATTTCTAGTGTTAAAGTTTGAGACGAACATTACAGCACGGTGGGCCAGTCAAAAAGTGAGCCGAACAGTCACATCCAATGCTGTGGTGCATTATCGTCGCATTCCAGCTGTGTTTTACTTTTGAGTTTTTAGCAGTTTTACTGTTATTATTCACAAGAATTTGTGATCTTAAAATTACATCGTAATGGGACACGGGTTTTGTATGGGATGGGATAAGTGTGCTTTATGAGTTACGTATTGGATTCTCATTTGGATGAGGAAAGTGTTATGTGTTTCAAGGGTCACTGCTGCAGTATTTATCAAGGGTTGAAGTGTAGAAGCCACTTAGACTGCAAACAGCATCCTTGGCAGGAAAATTTAATGTCAGAAATTTTGTTTTAATTATCCCAACTATATTTTAATAATGCTATTGGTTCTAGATTTAAAGCTTTCGTAACTGCTAGGATCCATACTCTTTGGTTCTATTGGGTAATGTCATGTAGGTAAAAAATAAAATAACAAAAATCACGACGTTTCGGCCACAACACAAGCGGCCTTCATCAGGTGAAGGGACGAGACTGTCTGGAGGGCAGCGCTGGAGTGAAAAAAGCCACGCTCAGATCATGACCTTTAAGCTGTGTGAGAAGAAACAAAGCGCCTTGACAAAGGAATCAGCATATAATTTAGCATTGAAATGGCTCATTGAAATAGCTAAGTTAAAGTATACACATCCGCAGAGGCACCCCTTGACAAAGGAATTAGCATAGAATTTAGCATTGAAATAGCTGAGTGATTAGCTTGTAACTGGTCACAGAAATAGCTATGTTAAAGTCAGAGCATATACATTCACCTACTAGGTGCCTCGGTGAATGTATATGCTCTGACTTTAACATAGCTATTTCTGTGACCAATTACAAGCTAATCACTCAGCTATTTCAATGCTAAATTCTATGCTAATTCCTTTGTCAAGGGGTGCCTCTGCAGATGTGTATACTTTAACTTAGCTATTTCAATGAGCCATTTCAATGCTAAATTATATGCTAATTCCTTTGTCAAGGCACTTTATTTCTTCTCACACAGCTTAAAAGTCGTGATCTGAGTGTGGCTTTTTTCACTCCAGCGCTGTCCTCCAGACAGTCTCGTCCCTTCACCTGATGAAGGCCGCTTGTGTTGTGGCCGAAACGTCGTGATTTTTGTTATTTTATTTTTTACCTACGTGACTTTACCCAATGCTATTGGTGTCATCATACAAATTCCTATACGGAACTCTCCCAGTGAGCACAGAACAACCCCGTGTCAGAACGGTCCTGGAAGATGACATTACACAGAACCGCTGCTAAAATCACTTCAATACAATTCGCGAAATGTTATGCATATAGCTCAACTAAAACTATCGGTGGCATGTAAATTCTCAGTAGTGGAACGAAACAATTATTTTAATTGAATTCAATAAAACAAGAGACTCATTGCAGGAACAGCACAACTGTTGGACCCAAACCCGTTCCTCTCACCAGGAGGCTCCTGCTCAGAGGTCTGGCTGCTGTCCGGTGTCGGAGTTTCCTCGATCTGGCTCTTGGTTTCATCGGGTGCCAGCTTCTCTTCACCCTGCTTCAGGCCGATGTCAACACCTGGGAGTTGAACGGTCACAAGAATGTGCACCGTTAGTAATGGCAGAGTTTGAGAGCTTCAAAGTCTCCACACTTGAAAAATGCATTTGATCATCACGGGTGACTGTCTGGGATTGCGCCCAGGATCTTAGCAATGCTGGCTCAGTGCCTCTAGACATGCTCATTGGCTCTCTGAGCCATCTTGCCACTAACTTTAAGTTAAAATGTCATTTATCCGACAGAGCTTGTACACAACACATTTACAAAACGATTCCTGGTTGAGTATGCAAGAGACTGACGGAAATGTATATGTTGTGATCCACATATAATAGATCAACAGATCAGCGAACATTGGGATCAGTGCCCATGTAATGGCTTAGTTTTTTTTTATTTTACCAGGTTAAGGCCCATTGAGGGTAAAAGGTCTTGTTCAGAAGCGACCTGGCCACAAATGATAGCTCAATGAAGTGGCTTATCACATCGAAATGTATCGCGGCCAAATACCCTCCGATCGAGTCTTCAGACAATACACTGACGTATCGGCATCGTGGGCGTGTACACTGGATGCGTGACCCTTCACAAACATCACTCACTTGCGTCTTTTCGTACTCTGGACCGGGTGATCCTGGATGTTGGTGCCACCATCTCCACCCGGGATTTCTTGGCTGCGGGACTGCGACTGCCCTGCTCTGATGTCATCAAAGACATTTGAGATATACGGGTATCTACATCGGTCTCCACAAGACTTTAAAATATCATAGCTTAAAATAATTTCATTTACTCAGGAAACGAGTCGTAAAACTATTCTAGAATGGTCCGGCATCAGTAAGTTTGGCCAATTATTTTTTATGTTTTGTATGTGGGAGGAAAGCAGAGCACCCATAGAAAACAAAGTAGGACAGGATGATGCTCAGAGGGTCACACGGATGGATTCACAAGCCACTTTATAGCCCCCTTGCAGCCAAGTGGATTTGGAAGTTGAACAAATCTACACAATCCATCAAGCATTGCCTTTAAAGTGCTGGATCACAGTATCACCGTTACACCAACCTACAGGATTGCACTACTCCATGCATACGTGCAGCATCATCAATAGCCTGGAGTTAAAAGTTTCATTATGTTCAACAAATGATGGAAAAAATGTAAGGGATACTCTAAAATCAATTCCGAGGCTTTAGTTCATGAAAATTACTTTTTTAACCATTCACCAACGTTTTATGTTCAATTGGACAAGTGTGAAGCTAGGGCTAGCATTCAGTCATGGTTATAGAAGTCATCAGTGTCACGTAACCATTTGCAAACAACACCCTATAGAGTCGTGTCATTTTGAAAACATTGCTCAAACAGGCCATCCTCCCGATATGCCGAACTAATAAAAATGTGATGGTTGCAGCTCTGGACTGTGCAGTGGATGGGGCAGCAGTCGACCAGAACTGTTCAATAACCTCCAATGTTCTGGGCTCGTGTGTGATCTGGCATTGTTGCGCTGACGAGGAGGGTGTTTGCCATGCGAATGTCTGGGCATATTCACCGAATATGGACTTTGAATTTCATCAGCATCTCAAAAAACGTTAAGCATATTGAGAAACATGTTTTTTCTTATCCTTAAAAAACTTTGTAAGCAGACCAAAAGTTATGCCATGAGAGCCACAAAAGGGATGATAAAAATTCCGTCACACAAACCAATCCGAACAATATCCAGTTAAGTCATTTTTTTTTAAATAAGCAGACTAATTACACGTGTTATCAGCTTCATAAAGCATTCCATATATGAATGCCAAATAGTGATTCATCTGCGAGGTTACATTTAAGATAGCGAGGAAAAACGTAAGCCGCAGGATGCAACGCCATTCCATGCAGTTTGAGACAGAAGGGAACTTCAAGACACACCCTTACCCTTTAACGGAACACTTAGAGTCGCGCTTCGTTGGCGTCCAGTGCGGCGCCGGCCCCTCTTGCCCCCTCTACATCCCGGCTGTCTCTCCACTTCCTCCTCCTCATCCCTCGTTGCACCGGAAGGAACCTCTTCCTTGATTGTTGATGGCGCCGCCATTGCGTCTCCCTGCTCGCCAGCTTGCTCGTCTGGCGTGGCCGGGTTGGATTCCACCGTCACCCACACACTCGCTGTTCCCTCCATCTCTGTCGGTGCCTCGTCCTTTGCTGCCTCATGCTTTCCTCCTTCCTCCTGCCTCCCCTCCTTCTCCTTGGCTTTCCCTGCTGAAGATGGTGCAGTCATTGTTAAGAGCAGTGTAGCAGGTCTGTAATGCACTGATGGTTGCTAAATTGAAGTGAGACTGGTACTGTTGACATATACAGCAGCACTCATGATCACAAAACTTGGTTAAATGATCACCTTTTTCCCACCAGTGGAGATGTTTACTACACACTGCACCAGGTGCTCATTTGAGGCTGAGTTGACCGAGGAAAGACCCAGAACCAGTTCAGATAATCGTCACTGGTGTTGACCTCGAGCGGGAATCGAACCTAGGTGGCCAGGTTCCTAGTGCAGAGCGCTAACCGCTGCACTATTGCTCCCCTATAATGTAAACACAAACGCCGTGACACACAATTCATTTTTTTCAAACGCGAAATTCGACAAACATGAATTATTTTCTATTCTCACAACAATCTCGACCGGAGGATTCATGCCAGTTAACGATATCCATTTTGGGGAAGAGAGTAGAACAATGAAACTTCCAGAATAAACACCTCACTACAGATGTACACATCTTCACGCGTCCTGGCATAGACACTGCTCGAAGATGCCGGTGTAATCAACCGCATCAGGACATCAACAGGCCGAAGCCCACATCTCCTTCATGAATGGAAATTTCAAGACAAGCCACAAGTACGACTGTGGCCATGCAACCCAAACTGCGGACCATAGAGTAAACCACTGTAGTCTGCACTTCTTCAATGGAGGAATAGCAAAATTTTACCAACTCTCTCCTGATATTCTAAACTATTTAGGTCACTTACAGAGTCGACAGTGGGGTCGGAAAAAAAGCTCTCCATCAACAACAAGCTCCACTTGGTGAGAAGAAAGCTGAAATAGATCAGGCGATTCTGATGCCAGATAAGACTTCAAGAATAGCGCTCCTCCTACTGGCACTATACAATCTGCTGCTGCGCTGTCGAGCATGCCACTATTACTACTATGAGCCAAGAATGTCTGTTTGTGTGTAATGCGCGTAATGTCACTCCACATGCCGCACCCCCCCCCCCCGATCATTAATATTCATGAGCAGGTGGATTTTTACACTCGTGCAAAAAGGTCCAGCAGAAGTAAAAAATGTTTTTGCAAATCTAATAAATAATTATACGCAACAAAGTGGATTTGGTGTCTTTATTTCTTCAAGCACTTGAGACAAAAGGTAAGTCTAATTTATGCTTCTACATTATGGTAAAATAGACATTTCATGGTGATTTTACAGATATTGTATCGAATTCAAATGTATTTCAACCCCAGTGACTGAAAGCAGGAGAATAAAGTATTAGAGCAGTGAATTTGAACAAATTAAAGGTCAAACTTGATTTGAAGCTTTCGTGACTGCAGGAATTACTCTTTGGTTCTTTCGGGAAAGTCACGGAGAAAGAAAATAAATTAAATAATAGAGTACGACGTTTCGATTGCAACACAAGCAACCGTCATCAGGTAGAACTACATTTGAGAGACAAAACACAGACACGGAGACACACAACAGACACACAGAGACCCAATGCCTGTGTCAAGGCCTTAAATAGAGAGGGGGGGGTGGGTAGAGAGACAGGTGGGTTCTGCTGGTGGCTGCTGCTGGAGCAGAAAAATTAGCATGTAAATGAATCCATCAGTTATATACAGTGCTACAGTGAAATGAAGTGTGTTTTATGACGTAGTTTTGTGCAAGAAACACTGCCATTAATAGTGCTACAGTGAACTGTAGTGAAGTGTTTTATGACTTCGTTTTGTGGCAGATTCACTGCCATTAATACAGTGCTACAGTGAAATGCAGTGAAGTGTTTGATGACATACTTTTGTGCAAGATTCAGACATTAAATTTACACAAGATACAATTTATACTCTGCTCAATTTTTTCGTAAACATTACAGCTTCCATCCTAGGACGGACAAAGAAGCTAGTATATTCATAATATAATTCATCTGCTGCTATACAAGCCAACTAGTCTACAGCAAGTAATGTGTATCGTCACAAACTGCAAGCATGACATGTGTACTCACTTCCCACTCCTAATTGGTATGCATGTGGTCTATGGAGACTGGGTAAAAAGATGGCTACTCTTAAGCAACAAATGGTGATGACATCACACATACAGTGATACCAAAATAAAGTGTAAAAGTTAAAATGTCAGGATGGAAATAAAAATCGAACTCTACCACCTCTGGACGTCTTGGTTGAAGTCCCCATTTCTTGGGAATCATCCCAAAGCAAACGCTTCGGAAGCTCACCTCTTGTAGACGGCTGCCTTCCCGCCATCACTCTGCTTGGCGTTGCCTCGTCTTCTGTCAATGAAGTCACCGTTGTGGCTCTCTCGTCGCCGGCCCGCGTGTTTTCTGGGTCTGCATCATTGCTGCTTTGTGGCCGGACAGAACCCCCTTCCCGCTCAACCAAAACCTCAATTCCACCTTCGTGCGTTTCCAGTTCCACATTGCCAGCTGCTGTCCTTTCTTCTGTCATCTGCACTAGTGTCATCATCTCGTCTTGTTCCTGGTCCTTCTTTCCAGTCACGCATTTCTTTACCTTTTCCTTTGCTGAATTTCCCTTTCCATGCCAATTCCTTTCCATGAGCAGACAAGCACCTTTTTTGTCTTGTTGTGGCACTTCATCCTCTGTTACCTCGTCCAGGGTTACCATGTTCTCCATGCTCAGGGGAAACCAGGTCTTCTCCGTGTTCTCAGCAGTCATTCCACCAACACCGCTGATCTGCTGCCCAAAAAATTATATATTTTTTGGAAAAGAGATCTAGATTCATTGCCATACTATGTGTTATGGTTCCATCAAGCAATCACCTGATGCACAAATTGCACATAAAAGATTCGGCGGCCACAAATCAACTACATTGTAAACACGCCTCTGCTGCTCACTTCACTCCTTTAAAGGAGGAATGGACGAAATCCACTCTTCATCTGAACAGCAATTGAGTGGATAACAAATAAAAAAAAATACATCTTTAATCTGCTGCTATTAATATATACGAAAGAAAAAACTACCAGTGATTTACTTAGGGTTTCCAGGATCTGGTGATTTATCGTATGTTATAAAATCAAGAATTGTTTTGTCTGTTATACAAAACATTGTCACATAGCGAATGTTACTCGGTTAACTTAACAAAAATACTTTCTTGAAAACATATGAAATAATATATAAATTTCATAATAAATGGAATAAATAAACTTTTACTAGTTCGTGTTGAAATACATTTTCCAGATAAAATTGGCAGCAGAGTGCTTGTCCTCATTTTCTGACAGCATGCTTGATTTAAGCATGGTGGTGGTGTCTGTGGTAGTGCTAGTGGCAATGGTATTGTTGGTGGTACTAGCAGTATACACTAACATATCACCCCTTATGTGGCAGCGTACATTGTTCACATATGACATTTCCATAAAAAAAACTTTACAAATTTTCATAGATATAAAACATTTTTAGAATTAGATTTTATAGCTAGTCACACACTTAGAGCATGTAGGACCTTGATAAATGTAATAATCGAACATAACCCATTCGTAAACGTACAACTCGAGGGATGTTTAATGAGCCTAAGAATGTGTTTTATTTGATTAACCATTACATGCCTTTTGTTTTACTGCTAACATGAAGTCAACAAGGATGGTGGTGCCGTGGTGGTAGTGTTATCGGTGGTGATGCTAGTGGTGGCAATTGTATCGTTGGTGCTCGAGGAATACACGAAAAATCACCTCTTCTGTGGCCGCACATATTGCTGGAGTCTCTTCTCTCTCACGGATGTTACTCTTGGATGTCTGCTCACTCAAATCCCCTGCATCACTCTTGGTATCTGAATCCTGCTTCACGTCTGTGTCTTTCTTTGTACTTGAGTCCCTCTGATCATCTACACTTCTTGAATCCGATACTTTATTTGTGTCATCATTTTTCTCTGCAAACGAATCTCTCTTATCATCTCCATTTCTTGAAGCTGAGCCTTTCTTGGTGTACACGTATTTTTTTGTATCGTAATCCCTCCAATCTACACTTCTTGTATCCGAGATTTTCTTGGTGTCAGAGTCTTTCTTTGTATCCGAATCCCTCTTATCCGTACTTCTTCTATCTGAGACTTTCTTAGTGTCAGCAGCTCTCTCCGCACATGAATTCATCTTTGCAGCCGTACTTCTTGTATTTGAGATTTTCTTGGTGTCACCGTATTTATTTGTACCGGAATCCATCTTATAATCCGTACGTCTTGTATCCGAGACTTTATTTGTGTTTGCATACCAATCCCACTTACTAGCTACGCTTTTTGAATTAGAGCCTTTCTTGGTGTACATGTATTTTTTGCTATTGTAATCCCTCCAATCTACACTTCTTGTATCCGAGACTTTCATGGTGTCAGCATCTTTCTTTGTAGCTGAACCCTGATTATCATCCGTACTTCTTCTATCTGAGACGTTCTTGGTGTCAGCAGCTCTCTCCGCACATGAATTCATCTTTGCATCTGTACTTCTTGTATTTGATAATTTCTTGATGTCACCGTATTTATTTGTGCCGGAATCCATCTTATCACCCGTACGTCTTGTATCTGAGACTTTATTTGTGTTTGCATACCAATCCCACCTACTAGCAACGCTTTTTGAATTAGAGCCTTTCTTGGTGTACATGTATTTTTTTGTATCGGAATCCCTCTTATCTACACATCTTGTATCCGAGACTTTCATGGTGTCCTTTTTTGTCTTTGAGTCTCCCTCAATGATTCTGCCTCTCCTCTTATCCAGGTCTTTCATGGCACCCGGCCCTCCCTTCGTATGAAGGTCCCTATTACTAATTGCATCTCGCTTTGCATCTCTCTCAGATTCTTTGAAGCATTCTGTCCTGGAGAACTGCGGTGGGGAGAAAAAACAAATAATTTAGCACCATAAAACGGCCTGTATGAACATTCACTTAATTATCCATTTGCCAAAGGAAACTTAACAAATGTGGCGCAGTCATGCAGAACTGTTTGGGATGGTTCTACTGATACTCTTAGGACACTTCAATGCCTTGTTTAGTTTGGTCAAAGACCTTCAAAGGTAAATATGAACAATTTTAGACGCAGGCATTCCTCGACTTACGAACACTCCAACTTACGAATTTGGTTCCATGAGATTTTTTTACATCGACTTGTAAAAGTGAACTCGCACTTGGGAACTGAACCACGGAATTATTTTGTTCAGAAGAGCGATCCTCCGCGAGATGTAATGGGTCTCAGCCTCCCATTGGAAATGAATGTGTGCAGTCTTGCCCCCATGTGTATGTCTGTGTGGGGGGAGCGGTAGTGCAACGGTTAGCGCTTTGCAATTCCAACCAAGTGACCCGACTTCGATTCTCGCTTACGATCAACACTAGTGACAATTATCTGAATAGGTCCTGAACATCCCCTGTTTGACTCAGCCTCAAATGAGTACCTGGTGCGGTGTGTAAACATCGCTAGTGAGAAGTCAAAGGCGGCCAGGCGTGGTGCTGGCCGGCCACCCACTGCTCGTATTCCGCCGGCCTTCATAGGCGCTACTTGCTAAATGCACTCGGACCAACAGTCTGTTAAGGCTACACGGAGGACCGTTTGTGTGTGAGCGCGTGCCGCCATGTGTGTGTGCAATTGTGGGTGACTCATATAAGACTGAGCACTCTCCAGGGGTCGACTCGGTGGTGCTGGGACATTATTTCGGTGAGGAGTCTTTGTGCAGCATTTTGGTCCAAAGCAGTAGGCATAGGATTTATCGAGGTGGGTGATCTTTTTACCGAGGGAGGGTAAAAACATTTCAGCAATTGTGGGCACACCATATCCCAGGCTCATATTTCTTTTGATTCCATCAGATCCGGGACATCATAACCAAAGTCCCAGACAAAAACCTGGATCTTATTTTCCCCACCCAATTTTAGACTCGTTGGGGGGAAAAGAAGGAAAGATACTAATTGTCAGAAACATTAATGAAGAGAGAATGTGGGTAAGACCCAAAACTAGAAATCTCTGGGAAAGGTTTACGGCACACGACATTCCTCCTAGGAAGTGGACCCAGATATGGCGGGGGCCCAAGCTACAGGCCCCAGGTCACTTTCATCAAAACCCATCCAGTTTAAGTTCATCCAGGGGACCTATGTGACAGGGCAGCTAAATTCACTAATTCCTCCCCCAAATGCTCTAGATCCCCTACGGGCACAGCACAGACAGACTCGCATGCCTTTTGGACATGCCTTTTGGACATGCCTTGATATCCCTCGATTTTACTAGCATATTATGAACTACTTTAACCGTATTTCTGACATGGTGGTGAACCTTTCAGTTGACTCAACCCTATTGGGGTTAAGACCTAAAGGATTAACAAAGTACCAGCACGCTCGACCCCAAACCTTCTACATAGCAGTGAGGAAACTATTCTCACCACTTGGGGACTGTGGCATAGAACTCTCCTCTCCCTAGTGGGAATGGAACATCTTAGCCATAAGTCAAAAGGGAAGGAAAGGGAATATAAGGCCATGCGGACCCATTTTTGCTGAACCCAGCATGAATAACTGTGAAATTGTGGCCCGGAAAGGGAAAGGAGAGTTGGGGTAGACTCCGGACACGACGCCAACCTCTCTTTCACATAGTGCTCGTTAAAATAAAATGTAAAAAAATATCAGGTTTATGTTATTTTAGTTTGGGTCTTGTTTGGTTACATTATTTCATCTCCTCCCCGCGTCCTTGCCATTTTTCCCTATTCCTTTTCCTCCCCCTTGAAATACTTTTTCCCCGATCGTTTCCCCTGCCATAGGAGGGTGCCGAACCCAGGTGCTCTCGTCTTTTCCCTAATCACGAGGGTGTAGTTACTTGCTATATAGCAGTCACACATCTGTTACAAGCTGTCTCGCCCTTCCCTGCGATATTGCTACTGTATCCTTGGCTCTTGGTTGGCATTGTGCTTCCTAGAATTGGGGGGGGGGGGCGGTGAGGAGTGGGGGAGCGAGGACCCAAATATTGGGTTCAGGAGGTCCAGGAGGGGATATTTTTGGTCAACTTCCAGTGATATCCAAAGTGTAGCACTAGGGCAGGAGTGTCAATTGGACAGCGGGCCAGTTTGGATTGAAATGCACCTCCCGCAGGCCACACAGTTGGGCCTATGAAAATGAAAAGCAAAATATGGTATTAATTTACCAGTTCAAAATCTGAAAGCGTGGGAAAAGAGAGTTGATTTCTTTTTTTGCAGCTAGGCACACCAAATCCCCAATCTCAATGTCTGGTTTAAATTCAGGTTGCATTTAGGTAGAAGATTTAAAATAAATATACATCATTCATACAAATTTAAACACGTGGCGGGCCGGAAGAAGGGGCTTGGGGGGGCTGGGTCCAGCCCGTGGGTCGTGTGTTTGACACCCTTGCTCTAGCGTGAGACCAGTGAGTCAGGTGGGCGGGTTTCTTATCTAACTCAGAGGACACTCTACTCAGGGCGATACAATCATAGAACATATAGCTCTGAAACACGAAACAATGCAACGCCGACATTCTTTACAATTTGAAGTACACTAACCAGGCCCGGTTTGGTCGATGGGGTAATGTGGGGGGGCGGGGGGGTACAAGAAGACCCGTCCGAACCATTTCAACCAAGTGATATACAATTGTAGATCTAACTTCACAGCCATAATCGTACACGAACTTTACTTGTCCGATACGGTATAAATGACTGGGGGGGAGGCAGTGGTGAAAATGTGGTTGTCAGGATGTAGGGGGCCGGAAGTGTATGTGCAAGGGGGAATTAATGAACATTCATGGCCGTCGGTTAAGCAGTTTTTGAGATGTCCAATAGCGGTGGGCCAGAAAATTATAACAATCAGAAAATTACAACAAATGTGAGACATAGGCTTTAACGTGAGACACAGCTAATCAGCACTCTTGGCTAACCAAAGCATCACCGATATATGCAGTAATGTGCAGACGACCATTACCTTGTCCTTAATGGAACTTGAAGTCTCTCTTCTCCCCTTACCGCTGCTCAAGATCTGGGCAGGAGCAGTGACACACATGGTAAGAAATTTGGTAAAATTTTCAATGCTATATCTTGGGTTGGTGATGTGGTGGACTCATACATAAGGTTTTTTTGGGTTAGATCACATAAATGTGTCGTTAAACCCGCCACCACCCGACAGAGCCAACTAGTAAGGGTTGTCACGTAAACAAAACATGCCAATTTGTCACTAGTACAGCAACATTGGTGTGTTGGAGAGCCAAGCCACAACATTTACAATCTGAGTGCGACGTTTCGCCAGTAATTACAACTAACTTCATCAGACGGCAGCCAGATTTTTAGAGAAGTCCACCTGTTTCAGTCTTTATATAAAGGCGTAGATGTGGTGACCACACTTCTGCGCTCTTGAGTCAACGTACATTATGCATTTTAACACGTAGGCTTTTGCGACCAATATTATTCATAATAAAGGTTTTTGGAAGTACATTATGCATGCGAATTATGCGAACCCATTGATCTTGTCCTTCCTGTCCATTGTCTATATTAAAATAGCCTTACCAATGGTAATCCCTATTGAAGTATGGCAGGCTGTATAGGCATGCATTTAAATAATGTATTATTTGATGATCCTCTTCCATGCAGCAACTAAGTCGGTTGCTATCCAAAAGGTTAAAAATAATTTTAATTTTTTTCAATTTCGATAGATTCTCTAATTAATCTTGCTCAGTAGTAGCTAGTTTTGCACATAATTTCAACGTTATCAATATCAATTGAGTGTCCTTGTTGGCATGCGTGTTCTGCTACAGCGGACAGTTGTATTTGGGAGTATTTAATATTTCTTTGGTGTTCTTTTAGTCTTGCGCAGATCATTCGTCCTGTTTGCCCAACATAGCATTTGCCTCAAGCGCAGTTAATCCGTAACACACCTTCTGTTGGTAGCTTCGGTAATACATCTTTTGTACCAGATATTAATTTCTGCATTTTATGTACCGTGCCAAATCTGACTCGGATGTTTTGTTTTTCCAAACATCTCGCTAGTCTATCAGTTACTCCCGCGATGTATGGTATTTTGATCATTTTAATTAATGGGCAGTTTCAATGCTCGTGTTATTTGATTTGGTTTTAGCATTCAATGTCCTGTTGATTTTTGTGCATGGTAATGGTGTGACTGCATTCAGACAGGCGTCAGTGTTTCGGTAAATGCCGTGTTATTTCACCATTTCTACCCCGTCCGAGCAAAATACCCAGAAATGGTAGAGTTCTGTCAGCTTCCACTTCCGTGGTGAACAGGATGGATGGGTTTTACGAGTTGAGATGATTTAGAAATTCGTTAAATGTATCTTTGCCGTGTGGCCAGACCACCAATGTGTCATCCACATATCTAAACCAAGCAGAGGGCTTTCGTGTGCTTGAAGTCATTGCTTGTTTCAAAATCTGCCATGTACAAATTCGCTATCACAGGAGACAAAGGAATTTCCTTTTGTTTATAGAAGTCACTTTTCCACAAGAAATAGTTGTTCGAATTGGCATGGTCTGTGTACGTGACAACCCTTATGAGTTGGCTGTGTTGGGAGGTGGCAAGTTTAACGACATTCATATATTTACACCATCTAACCTAACAAAAACCTCAATTATGGATGATATTGGTCATGAAGTGTAACAATGTGGTGGACTGAAAATTAACACAGCAGACACATGACAAATATACTTGATTTGAAGCTTTCGTGACCGCAGGAATCCACTCTACAGTTCTTTCGGTAAAGTCACGCAGGTAGAAATAAACTAAAATAAATCACGACGTTTCGGAGGCAACACAAGCCCCCGTCATCAGGTGAGAAGTGGCGAGACAACCGTTTAAGCAAGGGTTTATATACGTTTGAGAAGGAGCTTATATATGTTTGAGAAGGATTAGCAAGTCAAAGAGAATATGTAAAAGGAGCTCAGGAACGAGTTTTTTTAACGTGTGGATCTGGTTTCTTTTTTGACAAGCTGTTGAATTTAGCAATAAGGTTAACCTTACATTTGGAGGACATTGTTCCGTTAAAAAGCTAGATGTCAACAAGATCGTTATCAATCAGAGTAACGGCACAATTTCCGATAGCTTGAAATCTGTGCGAGCTAAAGGGCTGAACTTTGCTGTCACCACCAAACACATCCCAGTGGATGATATACTTGCCGAGGTTGATGTAGCCCTCAAAGGTTTGGGACATCCCAGCAGACGTGGCAAGATCTGAAATCGCCACCATCCTTAAAAATGCGAAGAAACCTATCAGTAACATCAGCAAGAACGAGCGCTCTGAACTCACTCAACTGAAAAAGAGAGATAACATTGTCATCCTCTCAGCCGACAAGGGCAATGCTACTGTCATCATGGAGAAAAACCACATACAACAAAATCCAGGACCTTCTAAATTATGGCAGCTATACCAAAATCAACAAAGATCCTACCAATCGCCTGGCTCCAAAAACCAACACTATCATCACTAACTCGACTTCTCTAATCGAACCAATCAAGCAGGTCTCCCTAAAACCTTCGGCTGCTAGACCACCCAGATTCTATGGTCTTCCAAAAATCCATAAAGGTACTCCACTTTGTCCCATCATTTCCACCATCAACTCACCTACCTACAAACTGGCCCTATTTCAGTCTGAGACCTTGCGTCCATTCACTGGCAAGACTACCTCAGCAGTACTTAACTCAGCTCACTTGGTTTCTCTAATCAAGGGCATCTCACTGTCTCCAGATGATTTACTTGTCAGCTTTGATGTGATCTCACTGTTGACCAAGGTTCCTGTACCTGACCCCTTACCAATAATTGAAGACTTGGTCCAACATGGACTGAATGCTGATGTTCCACCTTTGGTGAGGCACTGCCTTACCAACACTTACTTCACCTGGAATAGCACGTTCTACAAATAAAATGAAGGTACCCCCATGGGCTCCCCCTCATCACCAGTGGTAGCAAATGTTTTCATGGAGAAATTTGAAAGAGATGCCATCCAGACATTCGCCCTGCGCCCTTCCTTGTGGAAGAGATATGTTGATGACACTTTCGTCATTTGGCCACATGGCATGCCAGCACTGAACCAATTTCTCAACTACATCAATTCCATACACCCATCCATCAAATTCACCATGGAAGTGGAGAATGATGGTAAGCCACCATTCCTGGATGTTCTGATTGAGAAGAGACCTGATGGCTTGTTGGGACATTGTGTCTACAGGAAAGCCACCCACACAGATTCCTATCTAAAGCCTGACAAAACCACCACCATACATAGCAGTTGTTACCAAAAAAGATTTCCAAAATCTTAAACAAACACAAGATCCAGGTCCGATTCAATACAGTACACAAAATCTGTGATCTGATCCCATCTGTGAAGGAGGTCATTCCTGACATGCAATACCCTGGAGTCTAAAAACGGAGTTGTACCTGCGGTCGCAGCTACATTGGGAAAACGAAACGACATGTCTCGGACCAGGTTTGCGAACACAAGGCAGATCTGAAACACGGCAGAACCAACACCTCTGCCATAGCCGACCATTGTTATAACGAGGTGGGCTCGCACAATATCGTTTTTTCCGAGACCAAGGTACTCTGCAAACCTTCGGGCTACCATCAAAGATTTGTCCATGAAGCTATCCAGATATATAAACAGAGACAACTTCAACCGAGAAGATGGGTATAAGCTGAACAACCACTGGAAGGATGTCATTAACCAGGTTAGTCCGAACTCGCTGTGATCCTCTCACAGCCCAGCAGACAGCACTGTTGCTCCAGCAGACAAGCGGCTGCTTCTGCATCCCCCACAGCACAGTAGACAACTCGGCCGCCTTTGTTCAGTCTACCGGCGTGACTTTACCGTAGTTCATCAACGTTAACATGCGACTCTCTTTCCCTAAGCTCGCTCTCTCTTACGAGCCTTAGTCGTTGATGGAAGCTCATTAACTTTGCACTATAATTCCAACATGCGAATAACTTATTTCCCTAAGCCCTTTCTACATATTCTCCTGTCTTATGCGTTGACGGAAGCTCATTAACTTTGTACGAAAATCCAACTTGCCAATAACCTATTCCCCTAAACTCGTTCGTTCCCCGAGCTCTTTTTACATATTCTCTTTGACTTGCAAATCCTTCTCAAAAGTATACAAGCTCCTTCTCAAACGTATATAAACCCTTGCTTAGATGGTTGTCTCGCCACTTCTCACCTGATGACAGGGGCTTGTGTTGCGCCCGAAACGTCGCAATTTATTTTATTTTATTTCTACCTGCGTGACTTTACCGAAAGAACCGAAGAGTAATCTCCATTTCTGTTTTAAATATAAACAATGACAGTCAGACCATGATCTCTGACTGGTAGGAAATCACTTCCTCTAATTTATTAACATGAATTACCCTGATACACATATAATCTGCAGAGATATTAATCTATACAATCTGTAAGTGGCATAAAACCTTGTCATAAAAGTTCACCCACCTGATAAGATAGTCACATTTATAAATGTGTTATTTATACTCGCCAATGTATTAGAACCTCCGATTAGCACAGATGGCTACATACAGTGTGAAAGAAGTTCATTCATACATAAATGATCAAATTATGACAAAGCTCACAGAAGGCTTAAGAATTTTCATGACCAAATTTCACACCAACATACTTTTTCTCAAATTACTTTGCGCTTCATTGGAAATTGATTGGGCTGCATCAGCTGACTGTACTTTAAATACCCACCATGAGAATGGTCTTGCACCTGAATGTGGATCTGAACATGGGGTCGGCAGTATAGATGGTCGGGGGAGGAGGCAGACATGCAGTGACCGCCATTCAGTGGATGACTTGACTTTTTAAACAAAGGCATGAGTTTCTGGAGCACAGATCATGTGAAAAGGAGTTGCATTAGTTGAGCAGATAGTTAGATGGGAGCAAGTCGATGGAGAATCTTGAAGATAGCGGGATAAATCTCGTCGTTTTTTCGGGATTTAATTGGGAGTCTGCGGGGGTCTCCGAGGACTGGGATAAAGTGGTGTAGTTTGTGGGTACGGATGAGAAGTCTGATGACAGTATTTACAATCTTTACAAGTTTGGAAGCAATGGATTTGGGAAGGCCATAGGAGAGTTGGAGAAGTCGAGATGTGATGAAAGCTAGGATAAGGAACTGAGCTGCAGATTGGGAACTGCTTTTTGTGTTTAGTGTATTGTCCTTCCCCCGCACCTCCGATTAGCACGGTTGGCTACGTACAGTGCGAAAGAAGTTCAACATACATGTGGAAGACATTGTGTAGGAGGTAGGACATATTAGAGGAACGTTGGAAGGGGAATAAGCTTAAGATCACTTATGATTCCTGAATTATGTAGTCTTTCAAATGTGATATCAGAATTGAGGTGGCATGTTTTAACAGGAATATTTACGGCTTTTGCTGATGAGTATAGCCTCGAATAGAGGGAGCTCAAGACTCTTTAATGCCGACCACACGTGTTAGGTCAGGTGGGAGTACTCACACTTTACCGTACCGCACGCGATCTATCGATCGAATAGTTGTGGTGTTCCCCATTTATACTATTGGGTAACGGAGGCAGGGGGATATTAATAAACTTTCCCAATCGTTTCAAGTGTTGCGCCAGAAGTTCGAATTGAACCGGCGGAACCTCTGGATTGCTGCTCATTGTGCTAACCATTACACCACCAGAGCTTGTAGTTGATTTTAATCATGTTGTAACATGCACATCCATTACCTTTTCACAGCTCCTCTCCCAGCTTGTGCTTCTTGGGGAGCCCACAGTCATCTCTCTGCTCCTGTTGGAGCTTCTTGACCTCTTCATATCTCGACTTTTGTTGAAGCCCTGCTGTGTCTCCTTGCTCCAGCTACTGCTCCGGCTCCTGCTCCTGCTCCGGCTCCGGCTCCTTTTTCGGCCACTGGGTTGCTCCCTGCTCCTGTTCCAGCCATCGGGACACTCCCTGCTACTGCTCCTTCTCCAGTCACCGGGACGCTCCCTGCTAGTGCTCCTGTTCCAGCCACCGGGACGCTCCCTGCTAGTGCTCCTGTTCCAGCCACCGGGACGCTCCCTGCTAGTGCTCCTGTTCCAGCCACCGGGACGCTCCCTGCTACTGCTCCTGTTCCAGCCACCGGGACGCTCCCTGCTAGTGCTCCTTTTCCAGTCACCGGGATGCTCCCTGCTAGTGCTCCTGCCCAGGTCCTGTTTGCTCCTGAAAAACAATAGCCGTTTTATTGTGTAGTACATGAATAGCATCTGGAAATGAAGCTGGTGACATGTTTGAGGCTATCAGGATGTTTTGACTGCAGAAAAGAGAATGTCATCATCTGAAATTTTCTCACCAGTGGAGTAGAATTAAGTGTACAGAACCTGTTCAACCGTCATGTGCTAAGAAGGGCCATTGGCCAAAACATAGGCTATTATATATTTATTTATTTCAGTTGGGCAGTGTTATTTACTAACGTGTTGAATTTCTGTTGAACTATGGCCCACCTCGATGGGTTCTGCGCTCACTTAAGTCCATTGTGATGGGTACATTTTAGGCTGATGAGGGCTACCATTTTTTTTGCTGTAGTCCAAACACCAAATAAAAAATCATGTTTAGTTTTATAAAGTTGTTCATGCAAACTGTACCTCACGATCGTTGAGGAATCAGACAACCTGGAAGGTAGACAGGTGGTAAACCAGCGCCAAAAATTGACTTAGCTCTGCAGTCCTCTATATATTAAGATGTTTTCAGCCAATTCATGAGTGTATATACTTGTACTATAATTTACTGACACTGAAAATGTCATGCAATCAATACAAAAAGTATCTCAAGGTCAACATAAACCAGCTATTATGAATTCTAAATATATTTACTGTGAAAGTGATTTATATAGGATTTTTAAATGGCCCATTTGGAATAACACCGAAGGCTGGCATTATGGCAAACTGTATGGCTCACAGTTGAAAGGTCAAATCTCAGCTGGCGTGGTAAACTCAATCCATCATCACTGCTCCAGAGCCCACAAATGAAGTACCCCATTGTCTGAAGTGAACAGTGAGTCACACAAATTAAGTGACTTGTCAATTTAAAAGTTATATCATTCAGGCACTCCAGACGTGTGAATGAAAGTCAATTTAAGGTACTTTTTTCTCAACAAAACTCTTGTTGAATGACCCAGAACTCGCAGATTAATAAATAAATAAACATAAAAATAGCCATTTCATATATGGGTTGTGTCTTCCATTTCACAGCCAATCCGAAAACATGCCTACATATACATGTGGAGGAGAGTGGTGGTGCTGTGGTCAGTGCACTGCTCTCTGAGCCCAGCAACATGAGTTGGATTCCAATAAATAACTAATTTTGATAGTGAATAAAATCTGACCTAGTCCAGGATCCCTCCACCATCCCCCTTCACCAATCTGCACTGAGTAATGAAATTTGGTCAAACAATCCCGATGAACAACATGGCGTGGGGAAGGCCTTCCTCCAGCAGTGGATTAAGGGCCTGTAAATAAAGTTATATAAAGATGGGTTGACTCCCCCCCCCCCCCCCCCAGTGGTAGTAGCATCTCCCTATATGAACAGAAAAAAAAACTAAAAATGTGTAGTGACTTGTATGGAGTCACTATGGTGTTTAGCGCCAGCTACTGTCACAAGAATGGAACTGTACGTCTTGAGTCTCTCTCTGGCACCAGAGTGGATATGGCATGGAAGCGGGCCCTAGGGGGCATAGTTCTGGTGAGGGTCGTAGAGAGAGCAAGTGAGGACGTGATACTCTGTGTGAACCCGAGAGGCCACGTGGCCGGGGCAGTGTAGCGAGGGGGCCCAAAAGGGGGCTCGAGGGACAACGTAATATGTCCTAGAGCCTTCTAGTAGGATCTAAAAGGGGGCGTAGCCGAGGGCGGAGCGAGGCCACGCTCGGGTGCATAAAAGGGAAGTCCCGAGAGCGAGCGAGGCTCTTTTGTTAGAATGGAACCCGTCGGTGCTACGTCTCTTCGATCCTCGGTCTTCGATGTTACGCTCAGCATCGTGGGTCAGGCAGTGCTACTGACTGACCCGGTTATGTAGTTACCTCATTGTGGTCTAGTTAACCATGTAGTTATCGCCTAGATGTAGAACCAGTGTACGTTTATGTAGTTAGCCCTATTGGGGTGCTGTAATAAACGTGTTGCTTCCAACTCCAGTATGTGCCTCCGTACAACACACTACAAATCCATGAAGAATAACGGCCAATAGGGTGGTAGTCGTCTCCGATGATGGCCCTGAACAGTTGTGGAAATTATTTTTTTTTCCCATGGCAGGGGCCAAAGGGTAATTTCATATACTTACATGGCATTGCGGCACTCCTGAACAAACCTTAAAAGAAACAAAGAAAGGAGGCATATCGTAAGTTCAGGCACTGTTTCCTAGGTGACTGGCAATGTTGACATTCACTCCTTTTGTAATACAAAGCCAGGAGGGACGTGATGCAGCAGTTGACACGCTGTGCTATGAACTTGACGACATGAGTTCAACTCCTGGTCTTGCCTAAAATTTCTGGCGAGTGATATATGAATAAGTCCTATGCACCCCCCCCCACCACCCCTCCATCAACCTGCACTAACCGACATGATAAAACAAAACCTCATGACCAATATGGCACGGGAAGGCCTTCATCCAGCAGTGGAATGAAAAAGGGCTGTACATAACACAGAATGCCCAACCATTGTCAGTTGTCTTATCCGACCTCTCAAAACTCCACGTGCGTCTCACGACAGCGGTGTGAAAGTTATCTACGTGGGCTTTCAGCAGCCAGCCCACGCCGTAACTCGGCATCTTGAAAAGTAGATGCTTTTAGATATCATATGAATCCAAATCTCATTGTGAATTTAAAGTCGAGTGGCATTCGTAACACAATGTATTTAAAACTAAAGCAAAATATTACGAGACTTAAGGTATGCAGTTCACCGTGTTTGACATAAATGTTTGGCCAATACAAAGAGTGCATGCACTCATCAACTTAATTTCACCAGTTGCAAAAGCCCATTTAGACTAAAGGTCTCATTCTCAAGTAAGTTTCAGGTCACAAACGACCATTCCATATTTAATTTATGCAGCGACAAAATTCAACCGCCATCTTGAGATGAAACGTCACAAAACATTCAACAATGGTATAAGAAGATGTATTTCGGATATACGCATGCAGAAAAGTTCAAAAGCACATTAGGAGTGACCACTCACCGATTGGAAAACAAAAACGAGTAATTTCTGTGTCGTTCTGAATCCTTGTGAGCTTTCAATTCCTGTCGAGGGGAAGATGGGGAGGATAACGAATCGAATGCGTTTTAATAGTTTACAAAGGCAAGGCATGAAGGGTGTTTTGATATTAGTCCTTTCATGAATCTGATTTACAATGTGGTCCATTACTAATCGCAGATTAACCTCTCAAGAGGCCAACTGCACCCGCAACAGTGCAGTGTGAAACTGTCTTCTGTTGATTACCAAAGCCAAAGTAGTCTTTCTTTGGATCTTCGTACAATTTTGCTGGGTGCATTGACAAATTTCCGGTAGAAAACCTACATGCTGGAGCTTACATTATTCAAACTCTGCTCTACATATAGCCTACTAGCTTTACTACCCGGCTTCGCCCGGGACTTGGATTCTTGTCTTGGATTAATACACAGCCAACGCGGAGGGTGGGGGTGCGTGACGTCAGCAGGCACACTGCGTAACGCTTCCGCATGCGACGTCACCGCTCACTTGCCGTGCAAAATATATCCATTATTGCGCCCCCCCCCCGCCCCAAAATACAAAAGTTATTTTTATACTTTTTGCATTGTGTACAGTCTGGAAGCTACCCACATGCCAAATTTCAAGTTTGTTGCATGTCGGGAAGTATGCTAAACATTTCAGACACATTCACACATTTCCATTTTATATATAACTAGCTTTACTACGCGGCTTGGCCCGGGACTGGATTCACCACGCCCGGCCGCCTTCGTCTCCCCAGTGGCAATGTTCACACACCACACCAGTTACTCGTTTGAGGCTGAGTCGACCTAGGGAAGGCCCAGGACCGGCTCAAATAATCGTCACCGGTGGTGGCCGTGAGCGGGAATCGAACTCGGGTCGCCGGGTTTGTAGCGCAGCGCGCTAAGCACTGCGCATGCGCGGGTCACATGGCAAATGTGACGTCACAGCTCACTTGCCGTGCAAAAAAATATGCATTGAGCCCCCCCCCCCCGAAAAAAATACAAAAGTCTATTTTTATAAATTTTGCATGGTGGCCAGTCTGGAAAGTACCCACATGGCAAATTTCAAGTTTGTTGCATGTCGGGAGGTATGCTAAACATTTGGAACAGACACACAATCACAAATTTCTCTTTTATATATACTGTATAGAGATAATGAAAAGCCTACTTGGTGCCCTGCCCCCTACAGGCACCTCGCTGCATCTCTTCAACATTATGATCCCATCTCGAATGCTCATCCACACCTGTGTAAGGACAGTACGGGGCCAAATGGTCGCAAATGAGGATTGTAGCGATTAAGGCAGGCAGGGTCAAGTGAAGTAACTGGGTGAGGAGTCACCGCGGGGGGAGGTGTGGAACCCACGAGCGAGGCAAAGGAAATCTCCGATAGGAGAGAGTTCAGGAAAAGGGGTGTGGCGGAGCCGAGGTGAGATAAAAGGCTGCGCGAAGTGAGGCTTGAGGCTGCCGTGGGGGAGTCGGGAGTCTGGACCGTCGTTGCTGTCATCACTGTGGATCGCCCTCATCGTCTTGGAGGACTAGCGAAGGGAGTTATATATTTACACCGTAGCTACTACGCCAACGGCTCCTACATAGTCAGCTATGTAGTGAGTGTCGTGTAGCAGATACATAGAAGTCACCCAGTTGTAAATTAGTCAACCTGCATCCATCTGATAACCTGTCAAGTCGGGTGGAATGTATTTTATATAACTTAAGACAGTGTCTCTGAGTGCTACATTACACCTGCATGGATGGGAATGTTCCATCTCACCTGCTCGCTGGCTAGTTCCACGTTGCAAATGCTGCAGTGCTTCTCTCTTCCGTTGTTGATGTAATTTCCCACGTAGCAACTTAGTTCCGCCCACACCGGGAAGCTTCTTTTCATGAATTTTGGTTCACAGGCAACAGGTGCCGGAGGGGTCTCTAGCAGAACTTTCCTATGCCCAACTTTGGGCCACGAGTCGTTTTTAGGAGGAATGGTGGATGTCGCTGAGGTAACTCCCGGTTTCCAGGGTCCCTGAAATGAGTTACACTGAGCCTCGTATGGGGGCTTATTCGTGCTCTGGAATGGCGGTGGTCCCTCTGGGCCCTGTCCCATTGGAAACGGCTTCTGTAAGTTGTGAGAAGTAGGCTGAAGCTGCTGTTGTGAGTGGTGAGGCTTAAAGCTATGCTGCTGCTGATTTTCCAAGCTCGGAGGCATCGAGGGAAAGGAAGATTGCTGCCGTTGCAGGCTCTGAGGCATGGAGGGAGGGTAATGATGCTGCTGTTGCAAGCTCGGAGGCATGGCGAGGTGATGCTGCTGTTGCAAGCTCTGAGGCATGGGGGGAGGGTGATTATGCTGCTGTTGCAGGCTCTGAGGCATGGGGGGAGGGTAATTATGCTGCTGTTGCAAGCTCTGAGGCATGGGGGGAGGGTGATTATGCTGCTGTTGCAGGTTCTGAGGCATGGGGGGAGGGTGATTATGCTGCTGTTGCAGGCTCTGAGGCATGGGGGGAGGGTAATTATGCTGCTGTTGCAAGCTCTGAGGCATGGGGGGAGGGTGATTATGCTGCTGTTGCATGCTGTGAGGCATGGGGGGAGGGTAATTATGCTGCTGTTGCAAGCTCTGAGGCATGGGGGGAGGGTGACTATGCTGCTGTTGCAGGCTGTGAGGCATGGGGGGAGGGTAATTATGCTGCTGTTGAAAGCTCTGAGGCATGGGGGGAGGGTGATTATGCTGCTGTTGCAGGCTCTGAGGCATGGGGGGAGGGTGACTATGCTGCTGTTGCAGGCTCTGAGGCATGGGGGGAGGGTGACTATGCTGCTGTTGCAGGCTCTGAGGCATGGGGAGAGGGTGATTATGCTGCTGTTGCAGGCTCTGAGGCATGGGGGGAGGGTGATTATGCTGCTGTTGCAAGCTCTCGGGACTGGGGGGAGGGGGATAATGCTGTTGATGTTGCTGCTGCGCAGGTAGCACTAATTCAGGTACATCTACATCCACTTCACACAGGACCTGAAGCACCTGCTGTGGACGTTGGTACCCCTGAACTTGCACCATTTCCACATGCTGTGGCTGCTTTTGCCTTAGGTCCCTTCTTCTGCAGAACTCCTCAAGGAGGTTGGGCAGGTTTTCGGGTGTTAGCTTGTCAGGGGGATAACGGCAGAGCTCAGTTACATCCTCCTCAGAGAGGCCGAATGACTCCAGCAACCCAGGCTCGATGCCTTCACCACTGTCGCCATTAGCCAATAGCAAAGCATCGTCAGCCATCTCGCTCTCTGGCACGTACTCTTGATCTCTTTCCATTGGTCGCTGTACGGCGTCGAAATGTGAGACGCGATGACCAAGAGAACTAAAGTTCTAAGAGCACTGCATTCAATGACGTTCCATTTAATAAAAGCCGACTGACAGGATGTACTTTGAGAACAATCACTGTGCGGAGTGCGAAGGGACTGTCTTTAGAGAGGTGGATGAAGATGCAGTCTCAGAGTATGTTGAGGCAATGGACGCAGCTCCAACTCCCATCAGCAAAACCTATTCAAAACAAACCATTAGTGCACTTGAAAGGCAGTTTTGTACAAGTAGAATGCCTAGAGGTTTGAATAACCATTTTAATGGGAATTAGCTCACTACAGAACAAAATACAAGTATCACATTCTCGTCTTCATAGATAAGTAATATTTTTTTTAAACACGCTTTAATGAAATGTACCCTACTAGTAATGGAAGAACTCCACGACTCCAGGAAGTGGCCCCAAAGCTTGCCACAACGTAAGGGGGCTGTGGTGATTTATAGCCAACGTCAGTTTACCGAGGACAATTAGAGCCAAGCCGAAACATAACATATAAAAAATGTTTTAAAATGTTTTTTATTTTTTATGATAGAATATCGTATTGTCATCAGTGTGACATAAGTTTACCAAGTTTGCAGTCGATACCACATTGGGAAGTGGGTAAAAATTGAGTTACAAGATTTGAGGATACAACGACAACAACAGAGTTAATAAAAAGCGTGTAAAAAGAGATGCAATCAAGAATGTAATACAGGAATAAAACTGCTGGATGCAGGCCTCTCTGCTCCGTCGCCATCCCTCAGTTCTGCGATGTCACAGTCCATATTAATCGATCACATTGTCATCTCAAGAGGGCTCTCTCATCATTTGGCTGCCATTCTGCCCCCAGTCTGGTCTATCAGCCACTGTCCCTTCTCGCGATGTAACCTGCTGAAACCCACCTACTTTCCTCAACAGTCGATATGGTTTATATCATTTAACCCACGTTCTCTTGTCAGTGCAAGTGCAAACGTGCACATCATCAAGCTCCTTCATACACTTCCAGCTTTTGTCGACATTCATGTTTATACCCCATGCAATAGCAGGCAATATGCACAGGCTGAAAACTATCTTCCTCATGCAAATGTTTACGTTGCTCTTCATTATAAATGTCAACGTTTCAAAATAATCCCCATGCTGCTGTTATTCTATAGTCACTTTAAGATGTTTTCTTGTTTATGTTTTTGTTTTGTGTTTGTTGCGGTTGCACCCGATTCAAGAGCCGAATGGCTCACAGGGCTACACCAAATAAATGAAACTGAAATGAAACTACTGGAGCTATGCATTTTTAAAGAGATTTAAAACCGACTTTTTTACAACTACTTTTTGTGTTGAAAGTTTGCTGTACTTCCCCCCCCCCGCACTGATTAGCACGTTCGGCTACGTGCGCCGCGAAAGAAGTTCAAAATACAACCACCTCGCCTCGTACACAGGAGGTCGTGGGTTCGATCCCGACCCTGCTGACGCCTGCTGTATACTTTGGGAGTTCACGGTGTCTCTCTCTCTCTCCACGGTCGCGCGGATTTTTCTCCGGGTCGTCCGGTTATCCCCTCCACATTTAGAATCAACATTTCAATTGAACTTTTTTCAGTTTCATTTATTTGGTATAGCCCTGTGAGCCATTCGGCTCTTGAATCGGGTGCAACTGCAACAAACAAAAAACAAAAACACGAACAAGAAAAACATCTTAAAGTGACTACGCTGCAAACAGAAAAATCCAGGAAAAACACAGAAAAGTCTTCCAGAAAAAGCACCGTACACCAACGCTGTGTGCAAAAATCTCAGTGGGACGCAAGTGAAACAACAATAACCACAAGACAACTTAGATTAACATACTATTATCATAGTATGTTTTTTGTTTGCATTTTGACTGCAGGTATTGTGGTTAATGCAGACATGAATCCTTGTAAAAAGGTTTCAGTTTTGTTGCCAGAAAAAAGGGGAAAAAACCCTATTATTACATTTTGGTACTGGCAAAGGAGGTCTAATGATGTAGATGCTCACCCCGAGACCTCATTACTTTGATAGTGCATTGTCTTTGAGCTGTGTGACGCCTTTTGGCGTCATCTGGCCGAGCACCAATTGGGTCGAGGCTCAAAAGAAAGCCGTCCCTTGGTGTGGACCAATCGGTTTCTGGGACAATGCATCATATATTATAATAGTATGTTTTTTTGTTTGCATTTTGACTGCAGGTATTGTGGTTAATGCAGACGTGAATCCTTGTAAAAAGGTTTCAGTTTTGTTGCCAGAAAAAAGGGGAAAAACCCTATTATATTATAACTTAGATTAAAGCCATCAGTCTAACTCCGTACCACAACAAACAAACGTGGCCATGCACAAAAAAAGCCAGTTTTTGAAATCACCAAAATAAAGCCATAAAAGCAATGTAACAGTGATCATAGGAACTGTGACCGAAATTTCACAATAAATGACGTAAACAACACATGTACCGCCAAAACCCTGTAAAGCCATAGCCGGCTGCACGAGTGAAACTCCACAACATCACCCACGCGTTTCCGTCTCTCGCCCGCTGATAAATTTACACGCCACTCGGCTGAGCTACATCCACGTGCGGCCACGTCGCTACGCAGCTCGGCGAGCCTAAAACCCGGTGAAGTAAAACAAAATACATATAGTAAAGTGGGATTTAGGCGTTGCTTTCTCACTGGCGTATTCGATTCTTGCTGACCGCGTTACGTCCAGGAGTTAAAAAGCCCAGAGCCGGGGGGTGGCTGGGCTGGCTTCTCAAGGTTGTTTCCGTGTAGTTTAGGGTGGACAGCACCACCCTCGGCCGCCTTTGTCTCCCACAGTGCCGATGCTTAACCAACGCGGCACCGGGGTCACTCGTTTAAAGCCCCCCCATGAAATGGCGTTCACATATTCGCCACCGACCACCGATGTTAAGCACCGGGGGGGGGGACTTCAGGAAACACAAACGGGCCGCCATTTGCCACCAAGCCGCAGGTGACAGTCGCAACCAATGCCCCCCCGCTGTTTGTGCCCAACTAGTTGCACGGTTACGGGACCAGGCTAGGTGCACCTTTCGTGAGGCGGTCACACGGGAGAGAGACGGGGCTTCCCCTACTGCTGCTTGTTGCGAGCTCAGGAGGCGCCGAGGCGCCAACCGATTGCCGCCGCCGCCGCCGCTGCTGCTGCGCTAGACGCCCGCTCGCGATTAATTATTCCCGACCTCTCCGCCCACCGTCGCTCGGCGGAGAGCAGAGAGGGGGGTGGTGCGGGTGGTTAGGCAGCGAGAGTGTCGTTGCGGGACTCACGGCCGACGAAGATGGACGCGGATTGAAGGATGGACGGAAGGAGGCAGACCAGACTCTGCCCTGCAGACATGGTGGTGGTGGGTGGCGGTGGAGGGGGGGGGTGGAGAGGACGCTGATAGGTCCGCGGTGAACTGCGCCCGTGTCGCACCAAAACAATATTGTGGAAGGGACCGCGGTGAATTGGCGCTCGCTATTTAACAAGGGGGCCCCCCACCCCGACCCCACGTTGAACGACGCTCCGAGTTGATCGTGCGGGTGACCCACACGGTAAGGGGTGGGGGGTACAGCCAGTCATCTCAGTCGGTCAACCCATGGCACCTGGCTGGGTGTGCTTCCGTCCATAAATGACGTCACACACACACCTCGTCACGCGGCGTCACAAAAAGTCAGACTCCCCCCCCTTAAATGACGTCACAAAGCTCTGCCCCCCCCCCCCTCCCCAAATAAAACATGCTACAAATCGCTTTTAAACTATTGTCATTGTAGTTCGTATTTAATGTGGCGCTGCACTCTGATGTTGTAGGAGAAAACATTTCTTAAAAAGTCTATTTAATTAAGTAGAACGTGTTGTTTATATTTATTTAAAGTTGCGCATTTTGATGTGACGTTACATTTCTCACCCCCCCCCTCCTCGTCACACATCGTCACAAATGTCTGACCCCCCCCCCCCCCAGGTGCGTGACGTCATTTACGGACGGCCCCTTAACACCGAGGTGTCGAAATACATAGGCCGCAGTGACACAGCGCTTGCTGCTGTAACTGCAGGTGGACACTTGGCGCACACGCCGTTGAACACACATACACGGGTGTGCCGGCAGCGCCGTGGAACTGAACCAAGGGTCACGTTAGACCTCGAGAAGGGAGGCGCGGCTAGGGCGGAGCCAAGCCGCGCCGACGGGAATAAAAGCAGCGGACAGCGAGAGCTCGGGGCTGCCAGTTCTGGGAGCGGACTCGTCTCGTCGGCGCCGTCTTCCGTCACCGCTGCCTCGGCCCGATCACTGCGCGGCCGAACAGCAGTTGGCCGTCTCGGTCGACGCCGTCGGTGCAAAGCGGGCAGGGTCGTGTCCGGGCCGGGCCGTACGGCAGCGTGGTCGTGAGAGAGAGGGGGCCCGAGTTGGTGACGTGAACATAATAAAGGAAAGCCGGTGCCCTCCTGCGACTACCTCGTCTCCGACTGAATGTGTGCGCCACACGCCACCCGCACACACACACACACACGCCTCGAGAGAGAGGGAGAAGAGACTTACGAGACTACAGATGTACAGCCAAGCACCACAGTGAGCAGGTTAACACTTTACTCGAGTAATTAGAATCACCAAGGCCTTAACAGAAACTGTGGGATTTTTTTTTATACTTTGAAAAAAATTATATTTCTTCATTTACATGTTCAAATTTCAGGAGTCATGAAATAGCTTGCAAAACGGCTTTCACACGGATGACTGCAACAACTTAATTCCCCAGTCTGTAAATTACACGGTGAATGGCGCCTTTTAAATTTTGACCAAATTAATAACTCAAATCGGCAGCCTTTATGGACCGCAATTTTTGACCAGGCACTCAAATCAACCCTCATCATCGGCCATTATCCACTGCTGGATGATCGGCCTCCCCAAAATCGAAATAGCCTCATGTCATAATCCACATCCCCTGCTGCGGGTGAGCTGATCTCACCTCCCATTAGCACGGTTGGCTACGTACAGTGGAAAAGTTCAAAATACATCACTCCGTTTTATCCGCCCTCTTCGTCGTTTCCTCCTAGACATGGACATATTTGTAAACATTATAATATTGGAACGCTTAGGCTTTCGCGACCGATATAAAATCTGAATTGCTTTTTGGGTCAGATCGCCTCAGTATGTCGTAAACCCTCCTCCACCCGACACAGCCAAGTCACGTGAACAAACGTGCCAATACCTGCGCCTCAGCAGCACTCCGCCGGTGTTAGGAGTGATCCAGTTTCAACCAGCATTAGCGGGCAGTTGCTACAAATATGAAAATATCACATCTAACAATTGTAACCATCATTTATTCAAACACATTGACCTTTATGTACCACTTCCTGTTCTCTTGTGGGTGCACATTGATGACGTCACAACACCTACTAAAGGCCCCAGGCATAAGAGAACATTTTCTGGTTTCCAGAAACTGCCTGATGATGCTGGTTGTGACTATCAGTGAAACACCAAACCAACTTAATGTGTGGATTGCTCGCCAACACACTGATGTGCTTAAGCAGTAGTACACCAGCCCGTTTGTCCAAGTGGCAATTTAATTAATTGGCTGTTGAGTGGAAAAAGGCTCAAAGCACACATTTCACTTTCGGGAGCTGACGCAAAAATCAATCATGAATTGTGACTCCAGCGATTGTAATTTTAAAGTGCAAAGTGTTTATAATCATTCACTTCAAGAACGCGGGTTGTCAAAGAGAACTAAGCGACACGGTGTAGACTTTCTTGCCATGTTTATTAGATGCAGTCATTACACGAGCGTGCGAGGGACATTGGAAATGGCTAACACTGACAGCTTGCGCTAAAAGGATTGTGCCGACGGTGAGTGTACAAGGACCTGTTGAGGGCTTAAGACGGCTACTGTTGTTCACCGTGTGAGGTGACAGCTTACGTAGGCTGTCGAGTTGTGTCCAAAACTTGTGTTGAGAGATTGGTTTGAGTGGCTTGCATTATAGCGCTGGGTCTATTACTTACGTTGAGAGCTTGCGGGATTAAAAAATAAAGTTGTGTCGCAGGGTTGCATTGACACCTTGAATTGACCACTTGTGCTGGTGGACTAAACGAAGGCTCATATCGATACGTTTGTGTTGCTGTGCCGAGAGCTTGTGGGGACAGTGACAGCTTGTGTTCAGTGTGTATTGAGATATTGTGTAAGCAGAGTGTGATCAAATATGCTTGAGCTTGCGTTGATGACGTTTAGTGAAGGATTGCATTGAGTGTGTCGATATCATGCGGTGAAGAATTGTATTTAGAGGTTGTGCTTACGGTTGTGGTGACAGCATGTGATAACAGCATGTGGCGACAGCTGTGTGTTCCTGACCGATGCTAAAAGCTCATGTCGACAGCTTACATCAACAGCCTGCACTGTGTTCTTGCGTTACAGGCATTTGTTACAGTCTTTATTGCCCAGGGCTTAGGAGGGGAGACCGTGGTTTACAATCCACCAGACCAAGGCACTGGCCAAAGCCTCGCTTCATGAGCTGCACTTGTGCAGACGGTGGTGCGTCATCGGGGACCTGTGCCATCACGGCTTGGAGGTACCCGTGCCAGCAGCAACCGCGCCGGTGGCCGCGCCGGTGGCCGCGCTAGCGGCCGCATTGGCAGCTGTCTGTTTGGCCGTGACAGAAGCCGTGGCGATGATCTTCTCGCCGAGCGACTCCAGCACCTCGCGCTTGTAGTCCTCGAAGTCGCCCTCCACCTGGTTCACAGTCGACTCCTCCACCACCCACAGCTGGCAATTCGTCTCCGTTATGAGCCGAGCATCGTGACTCACGATCACGACACCTAGATGTGCCCACGCACGCGAGCATGCACGCAAGCACGAGGATAAAGATTAAGCATGAGGCTTTATACTCCATTTCTGAAACCGTACTGTGATCTGAATACGTGTCCCGTGTGTGCGAACTAAGTGCAGAGTAGAGCCAGTAGGGAGCTAGGGGTGGGCTAATAATAGCAGCGTTGCTGCATCACAGACACGCACTCTCGTTCAATGTGTGTGATATGACTGGCACAGCTGGGGGTTCTACAATGGAAAACCACTGAAGTGTGCCGGGTTGGCTTGGAATGGCCCCGGGCCCAGCTTGGTTGTACAGTGGATAAAAAAGGTAACAGTGACAAGTGCTGTTAGTAAGGAGGGCACACAGAAGTGACGTGGCCAAACTGACGCTGAGCCGTCTTATTTTATTATCCGCAGTGCTGATATTCAACACAATTCCACGCTGGTGGACAGTGAACGACACGAGGCATTGTGACTGTTCTTTGCCATGTTTGGTGTATGCGGTTGTCTCAGGAGTGTTGGGCCAAGTCAATCTAGGGGAGCCCAAAGATATGTTCATTTCCCAATCATAAGCATGGTGAAGAATCAAATCCAGGTCACTTGGATCAGAGCGTAGTAAGTGAATCACCAGGTCACAGCTCTGCACAACATGCACCGCATCCACCATTCGCAACTAGGTTGCGGTGACATAACCACAGCACTTGTGCCAGGCTGGGTGCACTTTGAGACCATGTTCACTGACAGCAAGTCACAGGACAAACCCAGGAGTTATGGGTTAACTGAATAACATGACCACATGCACAAACCCACAGACATAGGTTCTCACCTGATTAAAAAAACCTTGAAACATATACTTACAAATGCTCATATAGATGACCCACTTGGGACTTATACAGTCAAAGCAAGTGACGCATTGTGCCAAGGAATAGTGAGGTCAGTAATACGGCCATATTTCCCTTCCCAGTGCTGATGTGTGAACATGTGTGACATCAGTACTGGGATATCGACTTGAGGAAACCTGATTATCTGAGATTACCAGGACCATTCCACAGCCAAACCCCGGCTGTTACAACAGTTTTCATTTCAGTTCAGTTTATTTATTTTGGTGTAGCCCTGTGAGCCATTCGGCTCTTGAATCGGGTGCAACCACAACAAACAAAAAAAACACAAACAAGAAATAAAATCTAAAAGTGACTATGTGACTGTGCAAACAGAAAATCCATGAAAAAAACCAGCAAACCCTGAGGATGAGATCAAGGCAGCAGCTACAAGGTCATCTCCTGACATGCTCTAAATCACACCCACACCCCTCACCTCCTTTGTACTGGTTGATGGCTTCACCGAGGGCATCAATGGACTCTATGTCGAGGTTGTTTGTCGGTTCATCCTGCGCACACAGACACACAGCATGCGTAGGGACGATGGCATTGATTGACCCCTTATCTGGATGTGAACTTGCAACCTGCGGATTGTGAGTCCAGCGCTATGCCGGTGCCATTCTGGAGCTGTTGTGGCTGTGATTGAACTGTATGTTATGTTGTGAACGAGTTCAGTTTGTCTTTATAGTCGGGTGGCTCAGGGTTCAGAGCACCGAGCCGGTAGCAATGATTCCCTGAGTTCCAATCCACGCTTCGGCTGGCGATGATGAAACCGGGTTCTCCGAGTTAATGTCGCACCCTGGTCAATAACGAATGAATACATTTTTCCAATGTGTTTATGTTATGTTCATGCTGTGGCTTATTACATTGTGTTCATGCTGTGTTTATGTTGGAGCTAAGTTACGATTTTGTTAATACTGTGTTTATGCTGTGGCTGAGTTAAGACTGTCTTTATGCTGTGTGTATGTTACGGTTGAGTTAAGAGCTTGTTTAAGCTGTGTTCATGTTATAGCTGTGTGCACTGGTTTTTTTTACCAATATGAGGATATCTGGCTCTCGACAGCTCAGCTCCGCAAACACCACTCGGGCCTTCTGCCCGCCTGGATGGAAGGGGGACAGCCACAAACGCACGGATATATACACATACAACCAAACATATACACACAGCCACTGAACGTGCCATGTGACGGGGTGTGTGAGGCATGGTATTGTCATTGTGTGGTGTGTGGGTGGGGTGTGCAGTGTGAGTGTGTGTTATATATGTGGGATATGAAGTGTACATGGTATGTGTGGTGTACGTGGCATGGTCGGTCTATGTGGTGTGTGTGTGTTGTATGTGGTGTGTGCAGTGTGTGCAGTGTGTGCGGTGTATGTGGTGTGTGCGCTATTATAATAGTTTGAACCCCCTACCTCCTCGTGGTGCCGGACGGCAACGTTGTGGTTGGCAGTGCCGTGGGGGGAGGGCCAACTTAAATTGGCCACTCCACTCGTGGCCTCTGTAACCACCACAGTGGCCAAATGGGGGCTCTGGACTGGTGCGAGGGTATGGTAACCCCTCCACCTTCAATGAATTACCACTAAACTACGAGTTAAAAAATGTATTAAGCTTGTGCCGGAGGCCCCGGGGGGACAGGCGTCTATGATGTCTCCTGGCCAAACCCCTTACCCTCGGGGCTCCTCCAGAAACAACAAAAAAACACTACGTGTGGCCACGTGGAATGTTCGAACGCTCACTGCAGAGGAGAGGCTACCACTCCTCTGTCGGGAGCTGGACCGGTACCGCCTGGATCTCTGTGTTATTCAGGAGGTCCGGTGGACCGGCTCTGGCTTCTGCCACCATGAGGGGTGGACAGTCCTCTACTCGGGGCAGGAGACTGCCAAACAACAGGGAGTGGCCCTTCTTCTGAACAAAATAATGAAGGGAGCGTGGAAGCGTGGCGGTGAGTTGTGGGATGCTGTAAGCCCCAGGCTACTTTGGGCTCGCCTTCCCATCAACCAGAGGCAAGGAGTGGTGGTCGTGGTTACTTATGCCCCCACCGAAGAACATCCGTGGAGGGATGCAGGCAAAGCCGATGAGTCAGATGCCTTCTATGACCTCCTGTCACAGGTGCTGGCTAAAGTGGCCCCTCGGGATAGAGTCATCTTGTTGGTTGACTTGAATGCCCGAGTTGGTCGTGATGCTGGCACCTGGTCTGTAGTGATTGGAAGGCATGGGCCAGATCAGCTCAATAACAACGGTACGAGGCTGCTAGATTTTTGTGCAGCCCATGGGCTTGTAATTACCAACACGCTGTTCCAGCATCGCCACATCCACACAGCTTCATGGATGCATGCCAGGTCCAAGCAAGAACATCTGCTGGACTACATATGACGGAACAGCGGATGCGGGCCCATGTCCTTGACACCAGGACCTACCGTGGAGCTGATCTGCTCACTGACCATCGACTTGTCATCTGTAAGATGCGCCTGCCATTCTTCCACTCCGGTGGTGGATGTACACCAAGGACCCCATTCAAACCCATAGTGGCATGGTCTCAGCTAGCTGATGAAAGTTGCAAGCGAGAATTTCATCATCACTTGCGGCTGGGGTTGGCATCGTCCCCGACTCCTCCTGATGTCGAGGGGAAATGGGCGAGGTTTAGGACTGTGGTTCATGCAGCTGCAATGGCTGCTTTGGGTACACGGTCCAGACCTCCCCAGAGACCCTGGCTGACAAAGGTGGTGTTCAGGCTGGCTGAAAAAAGCGACAAGCCCACTCTCATCGGCTACAACATCCCACGTCCGAGAATGAGGAGGCTTACCGCAGCCTTCGCTCGGAGGTTTGGAGAGCCGTGAGGCGCTGCAAGGATGGATGGTGGTCGCGGGTTGCTGAGGAGATGGAGTCTGCCTCAATGGTCCGCGATCACAAATCGTTCTTTAATTCCATCAAAAAAGTAACCTGCAGCTCCTCCGGCAGGCAAGGCTGCGTTGGCTGGGTCATGTAGCCCGCATGCCCAGTCACCGCATGCCGAAACATCTTTTGTTCGGCCGGATCAAGGGGGCTAAACGGGCGCGGCACGGGCTAGAGAAGAGATGGAGTGATGTGGTACAGGAGGACGTGGAGCTGTGTGGACTTGCCGATGACTGGTACCAGCGGTGTCAAGACCGGCCTCTGTGGAGGAGGCTCGTGAATGACGCTACTGGGCAGTTGGAGGCAGTCGCCCTCCAACAACAATGGAGGAGGGAGGAGCGACACTCACAACAACGAGCGGAGCGCCGGGTGGCTAAAGCACAGCAGGTTGGCACAGTAGGGGTCACAGGTGGTGCATCAGTCAGTCGTCTCAGTCAGTCGACCCGTGGAACCTGGGTCTGCCCCGTGACCTCCTGCCAGCGGGCGTTCAACACTTCACGTGGCCTCAACATGCGCAAAGCTTGGCACAAGCGTCGTGGTGACGTCACCGCCATCTTAGTGGCGAATGGCGGTTGTTGTTACTATAGTTTTGAGTCTGCAGTGAATGCGTTGTATATGGTGCGTGCGTTTGACATGGTGTATGCGGTGTGCGTTACATATGCGGTGTGTGCAGAGAATGCAGTGTACATGGTGTGTGTGCGGTGTGCATTATATACGTGGTGTATGCGGTGTTGTATGCATTGCGGGCGGTGTGTGTGTGTCCTACCGGACAGCTTGTTGATCTGGATGGTGTGCGCATGGCTCTCCAGGCCGAAGCGTCCCAGGCGCTTGCGCGCCTCCTGGTAGGGCAGGTTGAAGCAGCGCTGCAGGTACTCGGTGGCAGTCTCCTCCATGGCCAGCTGATCCGCGTACTGCTGGTTGAAAAAGCCGATCTTCTGCTCGCACACACAGGACACGTGCAGACACACCAGCGTTAACATTAATATCACTGCTGTTTTCAGTCTTCATCATCGTCGTCACCACGACTGTCGTCGTCATCGGTGTCGGAATTGCTGGGGTCAGTGGTGACACATTCCGTAGAATAAGCAAAAGCTCAGGGGCCCAAGGAGCTTAAGGTCTCTGGATTTTGGGGAAATAAATCAACGTGTGCCACACACCAACTTGGTAGATCTACATGCATGTGATCTCGTGGTCTCCTATCCCTACATCTCCATCGCAAAATTTCTTACACTCCACATCTGTGCTGTGCTGTGTGGTGTCACTCTTCTCTCATTCGTACATCTCTGTCTTTTATCCCCATCACTTACACCTCACCGCATTTATATATTTTTTACACCATTCATCTCTACATCTGTCGCTTGTCAACATACCTTCTTCTCATCTCACTACGTCTCCGCTGTCTACATCTCCATCTGTCATGTCATATATATTTTTTTAATCTAGACAACTTTTGTTATCTTACTAAGAATATACAAAAATGAAGATACCCCACCACCCTGCTCCCCCAGAAATTATTACTGGGCTAGCTCAAGCATCGACCGGGGTGTTGGGCAGGGGCTGTGTTGTAGGGTGGGTGGGACGTAGCGAGATGCGTGGCGGCTGTGGGTGGTGACCACTCACCAGACGGTGATTTTTCCTGCGTTCACCTTTATTCTGCAGGGCAAAAAAACATACGCACACGTGGTTAAATATACACGCACGCCCACACACCAAACACGTGGTTAAATGAACCTTATTGGCAGGACCCCAGGGTCCAATAAGCCCCCGGCTCTCGCATAAACTGTGTTGCGACATCATTTTATGACTGTTGAAGGCGAACGATACGGCAATCTATTCCTCTCGACGAGCTCTACGCAATGTTCTAATCAAAGTTGAAGTTTTTTTATGACTACGAAAATTTTGGCAACGACAGGTGCTTGGTGAATGATCCGCACCAGGTGGATCACGGCGTTTATGTGCGCGGTGGGACGGAGTCGCCAAAAAATTATTAATTAATTGCGATTTTGACTTCCGCTCATTCGGGACCCTGGGGTCCCGCCATAAGGTTCAAATGTATACGGACACAAAACACACGGGTAAATATACACGTTCACACACACAAGGTTGTATATAAAAACACACACAACACATGGTTAAATATACACACACGGTTAAATATGTATACAAAGACAAAGATCCCCCCGTATAGCCTTAACAGACTGTAGGGGAAAGTACTGTTTGCGAGCACCTATGAAGCCCGGCACAGGAAAACAAAGGGGTGGGTGGTCAGCACCACGCTTGACCGTCTTTGTCTCCCCCAGAGGGGATGTTTACACTGTGCACGAGGTCCTGATTTGAGGTTGAGTCGACCTAGGGGAGGCCCGGGACCAAATTCAGATAATCGTCACTGGTGTTGGCCATGAGCGGGAATCGAACTTGGGTCGCTGGGTTCGTAGCGGAGTGCACTAACCACCACACTGTACACACACAAAAAACACATGGGCAATTATATACACACTCTGTGGGGAGCGGTAGTGTAGTGGTTAGCGCTACACTACGAACCCCAATGACCCCAGTTAGATTTTTGCTCACAGCCAACACCAGCGACAATGATCTGAACTCGTCCTAGGCATCCCCTAGGTCGATTTAAACTCCAATGAGTACCTGATGCGGTGTGTAAACGTTGCCACTGGAGAGACAAAGGCCGTGAGGCATGGTGCTGGCCACCCACCCCTTCGTGTGCCGTGCCGGCCTTCACAGGTGCTCGCTAACAGCACTTGCCCCTACAGTCTGTTACATGCTGTACGGGGGATCTTTGTCTTTGTGCGTGCATACCGGTTCTAGTGCCGCGGTGAGCAGTCCCAGCAGTGTACTCTTCCCCACGCCGTTCGGACCCACGATGGAGACTGCGCACGGGCGAACGCACGGCAGTGAACGGCGCTGCAGTGGTACCGTTGTGTTTTAACAGGGTGCACTGCGAATCACCATGGCCTACCACGGTGTGCTGCAGTGGTGCACTGATGTTTATTACAATTGACTGCAGTAAGCTGCGTTTCATGGTTGTGCAATGCACTTCACTTTGGTGGGTTGTAGCTCACTGTGGCGTGTTATGACGTATCGGTAACCGTGGCGTGATGTGATTCAACGTGGTGTGCTGTGTGTTTGTGGATTGTGGTGTATGGATGAGACCTGTGGTCACACTGTGGCGTATGGAGGAGTGCTGTGGTCCACTGTGGTGTACAGAGGAGTGCTATGGCTACTCTGGTAAATGGAGGAATGCTATTATCCACTGTGGAAAACAGTAGTACGGTGGTCACACTCTGGCGTACAGAGTAGTGCCATTAACCACTGCGGTGTATGGTAGTATTATTGTGCATCAAAGGCTGTAGTGTTTTTTTTACGAGCACTCACTGCGAGACTCCAAGTCCAACCCAAAGTCCACGTTCTTGAAGAGCAGGGGATGGCCCTCATAGCCAAAGTCAACCCCTGCATGGACACACACACCAGACAAATCCTCCATTTAGCCTTAACAGACTTTTGAGGCAAATGCTCTTCGCGAGCAACCATTAAAGAACGGCACTATCCTGTTTGCCTTCTAAATACCACGCTAATTCAGTGGGGTGGGGTACGTTGGCATGTTCATTATATGAAACACATTCCTGCGGAGGGAGCTGGTAGGAACGTTGGGTTGCTCGGTCAATGGCCAGGGTCAACGGCGGCATGGTGTATTCCGCAAATATGCCCGACTCTGAGGGCGGGCACAAGCCGGCGTGAGTAGGTTAAACGTTGAGTTTTATAAGGACACCACGGGGTGATCAGCCCCTCCCCACCCAGCCCCACCCCACCCAGCCCCACCCCTCCCACCCCCCACCCAGCCCCACCCTCCCCACCCAGCCCCTCCCCACCCTCCCCTCCCCACCCAGCCTCTCCCCACCCAGCCCCTCCCTAGCCTCCCCTCTCCACCCAGCCCCACCCCTCCCACGTGGGCAGACATCCACAATTAATCCCCTGCCTCCTGTGAATTAATCCCGGTTGGGCTTCCAGTCCACTACGTTTCCTACCAGTATAAACCCTAATTATGTCCATTAAGACCAACTTTTGCCCATTTATACAGCTTGTAATATAATCAATAACGTATTTTTTTGCTTTGTATGAAACACAGTTTAAAAGTCAGCACTGAAACCACCGAAAATTACAAGCCAATTTGGGAATGAACAATCGAATGCCAAGGCAGTTGCTGTACAGTACGTAACCATAATGGGGCTGTGCTTGCGCGTCAAGTTGCTGCATAGCGCGGAGACAAAGCTATTCTTGTTTTTTTTTTCCCACAATGTATTTCATGTTTTTGGGTCCGCAAAGAAAATACCCGTCGGCTTTCGCGACAAATATTATCCATAATAAAGGTTTTTTTTTTATTAGATCCCGCAAATATAAGTGTGTACAAGTGTACACGTGTAGAAATGTGCACCTGATAGGATGAAAGTTATGACTTCACCTTTACTATATTTAAGACCGAAACAGGAAGACTTCTTCACAATTCTAGGAAATCGCCCGATGAAGCTGGTTGTAATCACCAGCGAAACGTAGTGCTCGAATTGTAAATGCTGTGGGTTTTTAGGGTTTACTCTCCAACACCATGGTGTGCTGAAGTAGTAACTAACTGGCACGTTTTGTTTACGTGACAAACCTTACTAATTGGCTGTGGCAGGTGGTGGTGGGTTAACGACACATTTATATTTACGCGATATAACCCCAAAAAACCTTTATTATGCAAATATACCCGTTCCCTTATTTGCGGGACACGGCATTACGCGCGGCCATAGTAAACCCCCGAGGACTTGCTGTGCCGCAGCGAGCTGCACAGAGCCACGGCACAGCAGCGCGACGCCGTACCGCGCCGCGGCTGCGCTCTCCTCACCGTGCAGGCCGAGGATGGGCGGGGAGAGCGGCGGCGGGTTGGGGAAGGTGAACTTGACCGTGTACTCGCGCGGTCGCGCCAGCAGGCCCTGCGGGGCGCCCTCCTCCTCCTTCTTGCCGGTGCGACCCTTCTGCTGCTTCCGTGTCAGCGCCTCCTTCGTCTGCTTCTCCTGCGTGCGGCCAACACGGGCGCGTGAGCGGGAGGGCAGGGTGGGCGGGTGGACGGGTGGTACGGCAGGAGAGAGGGCGGGCGGGTGGACGGACGGACGGACGGGCAGAAGGGTGGGAAACGACGGTGGGCGGGTGGGTGTGGGAGAGAGAAATATTTCAGGAGCATGGCATAGTGGATGATGAAACCATCCTTCGGGAGTATATTGATAAATGTGTTCAGGTTTTTGTTGTTGACAATACTTTGTTAGGCATCACCGGCCACTGGACTAAACACCTAAACGTGTTGCTCATTTCAAATAGTGGAGTAGTGAGTATAATTTGTAAGAGATAAATAAGTAGGTTTGGGCAGTATACGTCACTCCAAGGGATGATGGCTCATGAAAACACGACTCGGTTACAGAACGAGAGCCGAAGCAGAGGTGTCTAAAGTACAACCAAAAGCAGCAGAGAGGAATGCGATGGATTGTGGCAACCCAACGAACCATGGATGTAGGAACCGGCACTGCCTTGTGAGAGTTCCAAATAATTTTCCCATGATGCCATTTGTCTAAAAATTATCGCACATTTAAGAGCATCGTTTGATATTATTGTCTCCGCCCGGTCGCCCTTCACTTTGTTTTCGCAACTCCACAACAGGGGCCGTCGGATTTATAAAACACAGCATGCCGGCTGGGCTCCCGCTGAAGTCGCAACTCGGCCCAAACCGTACAACACAAAAGAAATCGCTTGTATATCGCGCTCTTCATACAAAGCATCCCAGGGCGATTTATAATGAAAGGACCATCCCTCCCGGGGATAGACAAGAGTTAATCACTGCTCTACGGGACTTATACTGATGATAAGCTCACTTGGCGCGTGTAGGTTATTTTGTTTGTAAGATTTTGTAATTTGCACTTCCCCTCCACCAATTAGCACGGTTGGCTCCGGACAGTGCAAAATAAGTTCAACATAACGCCCCCCCCCCCCCACCCTTTTATCCCTTTACTTTTGTTCCTGTTTCCTTACCTACATTCCCTCTTGCAGTCCCTACAGCACTGAATTCGGACTTCGATCCGTGGAATTGCGGTTGTGCCTTTTAACCAGGCTCTTGCCAAATAAAAAACAATAATAAAAAAATTAAACTCTCGACTATGATTGCATTCCCGATATGTGGCGTATCAAAGGCAGGGGTCCCAACAACCAGGCCCTTGCCGTGCTGCGTTGTGCCAAACCGCGCCCAACAGAGCACCCCACGCACCGCCTGCTTCGTGGATTTTCCGCCAGCCTTGAGCTCCTTGAGCCGTCGCTCCTGCTTATCGTAGAGCTTCTGCAGCTCCTTCTGCTTCTGCACATACATCTTCTTGAACGTCACTGCACGTGCCACACGCGCCGCACACACACCGGGAGGGACAAAGATAAAGATCCTCCACAAAGTCTTAAAAGGCTGCTGGGGCAAAGGCAGTTAGTGGATACCTATTAAGGCCAGAACAGCACTAGATGGGGTGATGTTGGCAGCACTACACCCGGCCGCCCTTTTTTCCCCGATACTAATGATTATCCACCGCGTAATGTTTCATTCCTGATGTTGGTCAAGACAAAGATCCCCCGTATAGCCTTAACATACTTTTGGGGCCACTGCTGTTAGCGAGCACCTACAAAGGCTGGCACAGCACGAGGGGATGGATGGCCAGCACCACGCACAACTACCTTTGTCTCCCGAGTGGCGATGTTAACACACCAAACCAAGTACTCATTTGAGGCTGAATCTACCTAGGAGAGGCCCAGGAACAGTTCAGATATTCGTCACTGGTGTTGGTCGTGAGCGGGAATCGAAGCTGGTTCACTGGTTTGTAACTGCTGCAAAACCGCTCCACAACAGAGGCATGTACACACAAACACACATGCTTGCATTCACACGATGGTAAGGGGGAAAGGTTAACATTATAGGCTTTATAGGCTCATTGGAGGAGTTTGGACCCTTATTTGATGGTTCTGAAGAACTAAAGAAGAGTGCTGGGAGCCATGGATTTGTTCATGTTTTAGCTACGTTTTTTTATCGCACTTGCTGAGCACAGGCCCAAAAACGCCAAGCGAGCAAAACTCCAAGCTGCCAGTAACAAACAGCAGAACTATCCGTAACGGATCTAACCCTTAACACAACCAAGCATCTATCAAATCTGCCATCGATCGTTAATTCACATTATTGGTAGTAATTTTTGTTAAGATAGGAAAACTCTCCCAACTGATCACTCGGGGCTAGGCCCACCTGCCCAGATCCCGTACGATATTTCTAAGTCAAAGCCGGAATCGTTTCCCAAATGATCGGGAGTAAATGGAGACCGCTCCGGCAGCAGCGTGACTACGCACTCACAGTAGTTGCCGCGGTAGTAGAAAAGCTTCTGGTAGTCGAGGTGGATGATGTCTGTGCACACGTCATCCAGGAAGCTCTGGTCGTGGGACACGATCAGCAGTGTCTTCCGCCACGTCAGCAGGTAGCTGAACAAAGACAAAGATCCTCCGTTATAGCCTTCAGCAGACTGTAAAGGGCAAGAGCTGTTCCTATGAAGGCCGGCAAGTGCAAATGAGGGGGAGGGCAACACCACGCCTGACCACCGTTGTCTCCCCACTGCTGATGTTTGCATACCGCACCAGGTACTTGTTTAAGGCCGAGTCGATTGGCACGGTTGGCTACATACGGTGCGACAGACGTTCAACATACACGCATAGGAGAAGAACAGAAACGGTTCAGATATTCGTCATTATTATTGGTCGTGAGCGGGAATTGAACTCAGATCTCTGCATAGGTAGCTGAAGTTTTCAATTTGTCAAATTTGGACCCTGATGCCAGCACACAATGACCTAGTTTTGTGAATGATGTCACGGGATCTTTAAAGTCCACTCCGAAGCAGGCAGTGCATAGAAGTATTATACACCGGCAGAAATAACCAGGGCGGCTGCTGGGATCGAAACCGCAAACTTCTGCAACAAGCAGCAAATGGGCTATACCACTGGGCCATTTGTATGCTCACCTGTGTTTGCACCCGTGTGCCGAATGCATCTGTCTTTGTTTGTGTGCGTGCAATTGTTCTCGCATGCCGTGCCGGCCTTAATAGCTATTTGCTAACAGCACTTGCCCCAACAGTGCATGTGTGAGGCTACATGGTGGGGGGGGTGGGGGGTGGAGGGGATCGCTATCTTTCTGCCATACTTGTTGAGCCAGATGACGGCGTTGAGATCCAGGTGGTTGGTAGGCTCGTCCAGCATGAGCAGCGTCGGCTCCATGAAGAGGGCCCTGAGAGACCGACAAAACCGCACTGCTGCTCGAGGAAAGACGCAATCGACAAAGTAACTTTTAAATCACACCTTCACAGCGTCTGCTTCTTCCCCATTCCTCTATCACTTTGCCCAAAAAGCAACAGCCCCCTCTGTATAAAGTAAATATGGCCACTGCTTCTGCAGGGCGTCTTGAGTTGCGGTCGCATTTACACGTCGCATAAATCCAAGTCGTATTACACTGCAAAGCAAAGCCATAGGGAGTTGTGAGAAAAGATCCGCAATGCCTTGCAAACCCTACTCGAGCAAAAATATTGTGACAGCAGGTTTACCACTCTAAAAGAGCGTGTGGATGAACGTAGTAGTCCAAGGGCACAGGTTGGCCAGATTGTACCCAACAGATAAGTACAAGATATAGCTTTGTAAATGCAGTGCAAATAGGCACGCCGATTCCTACTTTCCCACCACAAGCAGATTAATTCGTGTGAAGTCTTCCGGTCAGACATTTTTGGCCTCTTTTTTTAAAAGTACAAAATAAACTTTCCAAGTAATCTCCCGCTCAAACAAGCAGATCGTGGTGCTCAGCTCCCATTTACAGCCCGAGCCAGCGGTGGAAATTCCGCATTAATACGGCATGGGTGAGTCTATCCATAGGACAACTGTTGACTTCCCCACAGATTGGCACCAATTTTATTGACCCTGGAAGGATAATGGGCTGAGCCAACCCCCAACCAGGATTTTAACTCGTAACTTTCCATTTGCGATCCTGTCTCTCTACCATTGAGCCACTTGGCCAGTTCTAGTTTCGATTTCATAAAACATTTCAGGACACCTTCTAAGCCCAAAATTACTTTCAACCGTGTTGTGTATCACATATCAATATCATTCTGTAAATAAAAGTTGACGTATCGTACACAACCAAATAGATGGCATTCAAGCATGCATTTAAATTGCCATCATTTTCCTCTTGGAGATCAGTTGGTTTGAACAGTGTTTTAAACAGTAGCTTGCTAGGATACTGGAACAGTGTCCCAAACAGAATGATAATAATTGACAAGATTTTTTTTGACAATTCTTCTTATTAACAAGAACAGTATATTTGTTTTTTCTCACTTGTGCATTGTTAAGTATAGGTACAGCTTTTTGTTCTTTTGTGATAATTTAAGAAATACCTAAGCCTGCGCTCTCCGGCTGCCTGGGTGAGAAAAGTGGGCAACGTCATTGCCCAATCCTAGCCCGCCGGCTCGCACCTTCATAAATACATTTTGCCACGTGCCGAGCGCCGTGTGCCGTGCGCAGTGTGCCGCGAGCCTCTTGCGCCGCGTTACCGTGCCAGCGACACTCGCATGCGCCAACCCCCGGAGAACTTCTTGGTGGGACGTCCCTGCATCTCGGGGGTGAAGCCCAGACCGGCGAGGATCCTGCGCGCCTTCGCCTCTGCCGCGTCGGCACCCATCGCCCGCAGCTCCTCGATCACCTGACGTGCGCGCGGGGCAGCGCAGAGGCCGCGGCGTGCAAGTTACAGTCCATGGCGAACGCGGCGCAAGACCCAAGCGCACACGCCGGACCCCACTTGGGTGCAATGTGGCGTTTGTTAGTTCTCTCCCCCCACTGTTCTGCGTGTTTCTCCGGTTTTCCGCCCACAGCTAAAAGGAAAACATTCAGCGGAATTGACACTGGCCAACACAACCCAATGCTGAAAATGTATCTGCAAATTACTCATTTGGGGTCACACACAGCAGCAATATTTCCCACCATTGCCAGACCTTCACAGGACTCTCCTGAAAAGAGCCATGAGACTCAGTGAAGCTTTCCTGGCTAAACAAGCAGAATCTCGTTGATGAGAGATATCATGTGACACACACGATGAATAGGACAACACGTCACACATACACGACAAAAGGGCAGGCTAGGTGCGTGGTGTATCATGGGCAAGGCGTGGTTGTAGTGTGGTGTGATGTGATGTAGAAAGGTGGCATGGGTGGTGCGGTTCGGTGTGCCATAGCATTGCACAGCTGGGAGGGGGGCGTGCAATAATACGGCGACTGGTGCGGCGAAGTTAGGCGTGGCATTGATGTGGCGTGTTGTGGCATGGTGTGGCAGAGCATGGGGGTGTTTTGACGTGGGGCACTGTGACGTGGTGGTTTGTGACGTGGTGCATTGTGACATGGTGCGTTGTGGCGAGGCACGGCGTGGAGATTCGTGGCACAGTGTGAAGTGTTGCGAGGTGCCGTGGCATAGCGTGGCGCGGTGGGCCACGACGTGCACAGTTTGTGTTTGTGTGGTGTGGTGTGGCACGGCGTGATGTAGCGTGGCGTCACCTTCTCGAGGCGAGGGCCGACCGAGTCGTCTCCGCTCTCGAGCCGCGCCTGCAGCTTCGACTCCTCCTGCAGCAGCACACCGCGACGCACGTCGGCGCGCAGCACGGCCTGCACTGCCGGGGTCGAGTCCGCCACCACCTCTACGAACGCGCACACACACACAGTACATACACACACGGTAACTACACGGTACATACACACAACAACCGCCATTCGCCACTAAGTGGCGGTGACGTCACCACGACGCTTGTGCCAGGCCATGTGCACCTTGAGGCCACGTGAAGTGTCGAACGCCCGCTGGTAGGAGGTCATGGGGCAGACCCAAGTGCCACGGGTCGACTGACTAAGATGACTGAGATGACTGGCTGATGCACCACCTGTGCCCCCCTACTGTGCCAGCCTGCTGTGCTTTAGCCACCCGACGCTCCGCTCGTTGTTGTGAGCGTCGCTCCTCCGCCCTCCGTTGTTGTTGGAGGGCGAATGCCTCCAACTGACCAGTAGCGTCCTTCACGAGCCTCCTCCATAGAGGCCGATCTTGACACCGCTGGTACCAGTCATCGGCAAGTCCACTCAGCTCCACGTCCTCCTGTACCACATCACTCCATCTCTTCTCTAGCCCGTGCCGCGCCCGTTTAGCCCCCTCGATCCGAACGAACAAAAGCTGTTTCGGCATGTGGTGGCTGGGCATGCGGGCTACATGACCCAGCCAACGCAGCCTTGCCTGCCGGAGGAGATCACCGATGGGACTTTGCCCAGATCTTTCAAGGATTTGTGAGCTCCTCACACAATCCAGCCTGGTTAAACCCAGGATGGATCGTAGGCAGGCTAGCCTAAATGTTTCTAACCGGCGAAGATGTTCTATTAGGAGGGTCCACGTTTCGCAAGCGTAGAGAAGGGAGGGAATGACCGTGGCCGAGAAGACCTGAAGCTTAGTGCGGAGCGACAGACCAGGTAGCTTCCACACAGCGTTACGCAACCGATAAAAATATATTGTCGCTCGACTGATTCAGAGTGAGACATACGGGTACATACACACATAGTACGCACATGGGTACATACACACATGTACACACGGTACACACAAGGGTACACAAACACACAAATGGACACACTCAACAAACAGACATGTATGTATGTTAAACATATTTTTCACTGTACGTAGCCAACCGTGCAAAACAGGACATGCGCACACACAGCAGCACACAGGCATGCACTCGCACACAAGCATGCTCTCACCCAAACACAGATGGTCACATAAACAAAGGTACACACGACCACACAAATCACTGGCTTGCACAACTCACCCTGCTCACAAAGCAGCACGTCGATGTTGGGTGGGATGTTAAGAGCTCGGTTAGAGATGTGCTTGAGCAGTGTTGTTTTCCCCTTTCTGGGAAAAGAGTGACGAATTACAACACAAACATTCAACACGAATTTTTAAAAATCTACCGCGACACAAATGATCATAACACAGGATTATCACCACCGTCCATGAGTTGTTTAGATGTCGTTCAGCGATTGCTCTGGTAGATTCTTTCCAGTTACCATTGTGTGAAAAACACCGCTGTCACATCTGGGACAGAGCACCCAAATTCCTACCTCCTGGACTATACCAGACTTCCGCGTGTACGCGCAACATGTGACAACGGTAGCAACGATGTCAATGTACACAAATAACCAATCGAGTCGGTGTGACGAGGCGGTGAATGGCAAAGGAAGGTGACGGTAGCGGTCGGCATCCCAAATTGGTCGGCATGTTACTCTGGGTAAGAACGGCAGGTGCGGTAGCTGTGTGGTGTTTTGCGGTGTCCATAGCGTCTGCGGTCAAGGCGGTGCCCGTACCCGTTGGGCCCCACGAGGCCGTATCTGCGCCCGGCCACAATGTTGAGCTCAGCGTTCACAAACAGCTCCTTGCCGTGCGCAGAGATGCTAAACTTCTCTATCTGCACGCATGGTGGGGGGGAAGTGGGGGGGGGGAGGCACGGGGATGAATGGGAATTGCATGAAAACGTGAGGGGATCAACGGGACAGCACATGAAACAGAAGGGGGTGCACAGGTACGCATAGGGATGCGTAGAGGGACGCGGAGATGTATGGGCACAGGGGAAGGCACAGGATTGCAAAGGGATATTCTGAGATGCACAGGAACACTCCAATCAGGTCCGGAGGGGTTGAGAATGAATAAAATTAGTGACCATTATCATCCCACGGAACGTCTGATTTTCTGGAAACTGTGCCACATATATGGCGACGCTTCATTACACATCCAGTGTTGTATCGATTAAGCCAATCAAATCGATCGATTCAAGGCTCACCATGCATGCATCAAAACATGAACTTAAGAATCATCTACATACGATTTATATATAAATATTACACAAATATTACCTAGAGGGTAATCGAATCAAAAGAACAGAACAAAAAAGAACAAGATGGTAGAAACAGACAGTGTAAACACAACGAAATCTAAGCAATTCTTTAACCTAATTAGTACAGGGGAAACTGGCAATTCACAACATCGTGGAAAAGGCAAATCACTCCACGCCTATGGCCCATGACTAGTTTGCTGGTAGACAGGAGACACGTGACTAATGGAGGCCATAGCCAAAGTGAGAGAGAATACTTGACGCGGTGAGCGGGGTGTGCAGAAATCTGTTCCAAACTGCCGACCCGAACAGACCCGGCTGAAATAAGCTCCAGTTACTTACTAATATCGGAAGGAAGAGCATTCCAGATGGCCGCAAGAGCGCATCTGAAAGCATGCGGTGCAGTGAGCGTCTCGCCAATGCGAGAAAGAATGGTGGATGCGGTGAGCGGGGTGTGTGGAAATCTATTCTGAACTACCAACCGGGACAGACTCGGCTGAAATAAGCCCTAAAAATGTTGTGCCGCATCAATGAAAGGGCAAGCGAGTGAGTGAGCGAGTGCCCATGCCTTGATGTCGGAAGCATTCTCTAGCGCCGCCTTGCGCGACGTCAGCTCCTGCTGCGACACCGCAAAGTCTCCCTCGGCCTCGGCACACGCGCGAAGAGACTCCACCTGACGCTCATACGCACGCTGCGCGGAGACATAGACACACGTGTGCACGCACGCACGCACAATATGGGGAGGTGGAAGATGCACAAAGACAAAGGTCCCCCATATAGCCTTTTGTGCAATTCCTATGTGAACACCTTTGAAGGCCAACATGGGACACGAGGGGATGTGCCCAAACACCATGACCAGCTGCTTTTGTCTCCCAAGTGGCAGTGTTTTACACACCCCACCAGGGACTCATTTAAAGTTTACTCAACCTAGAGGTGGCCTAGGACCAATTCAAATAATCATCACTGTTGGTGGCCGCGAGCGGGAATTGAACTCAGGTCGCCGGGTTCGTGGCGCAGTGCGCTAACCGTTGGACTACCGCTCCCCATAAGCACACACATGCACACATAGAGGCCCGCACACAAGAGTGAAGGCACGTGTGCACACGGTACTTATGGGACACGAGAACACACCGCATGAGGATACACGCACACGAACACGCAAGGTCTGGGACATGCACACACAAGTTCATTTTGTTTAACCAAGTGAGAACTTGAGAACACAATGAGTTTCACCGAGTTTAATTCACAAGAGGGACCTTGGGCATTAGTCTGCCAGTAGGGGACGATGATTGCTATGTGTTAACCCAATTGAGTAATTTTACGCTGGCACACAATGGCCTACTCTTTTGCAAATGTCAGCAGGTTTGTAATGTCCACTGTGAAGCAAACGGCGCGTATATTATTATTATGGTATTACAACCGCAGCATTAATCAGGGCAGCCGTCGGTTTTAAACTGCAAACCTCTGCAACAAGTGGCGAATGTGCAACCACTGAGCCACGTCACCGCACAAGGTAGGTTGATCGTTCGCAACCTACAGCACCAAAAAGTGGCCAACCATTCACCACTGCAGGCAGCAAAGGCGCCTTGTGCCAGGCCAGGTGCAATCCTTAGGCCACGGCTTGCTGTCAGGAGGTAGCGGGACAGACCCAGGTATTATGGGTTGGCTGACAAAGAATAACTGGCAGATAGATGCAGCTCCCTCAATCCTCACTGCACCAACTGTGCCACATACACACGAAAGCCGTGCAATGGTGTCGTGGTGCTCACTCTTCAGTGCCAGGTGCTACACACGCAGCGAGGTGGAGAGAGGGTACATACCTGCTTCTCGAGTTTCTTCCTCTCTTTGCGGCTAAGGTTAGAGGAGGGATCGGCTCCATTGTCGGCGGCAGGAATACTGCCATCCTGCGCACGCACACACACACACGTCCCCTTGTATGGCCTTGAACACTGTTGGGGCAGGTGCTGTTAGCGAACACCTATGAAGGCAGGAACAGTACACAAGAGGCGTGGGAGTAAGGAAAATCAAACAAGGATCACCTCGGCATCCTTATCATTCTGACCGCTCTTCCCATCCTCATTTTTACTGGGCGCATCCTCATCCTCCTCTTCTTCATCGTCATCGTCCCTGGAGTGCTTGCCTTTGCCCTGGAGACAGATGAGACATGCTCGATGTAATGAGATGCGTTTGGCAGATCACGCCGGGATGAGACGCACAATGGAGTGCATCCAGCAGACATTTGGTCAAGATGCGAATCTCGCACCCTGAGTTTATCAAAACCGCAGGTGGCAACTTCTCACGGTGGGAGATATCAACATGTCTTGGGAGACTCAGTCATGCGTTCCTAACCGCGCACGTTAGAAAGGCGAGGCCCCGCAATTGCTTGATCGTGTCACTGCTGGAGGAAGGGCCTCCATTAGGGGAAGCTCTAGAGGGCTTTTTTTTACCTACTCGTTCACACTGGCTAGAAGTCGTGGTTAGAAGTCGTGGTAGGAGCACCCACACTTTACCTCACCACCTATGGTGTACCTGTTACTGCCATATGGGTGGACAGAGGGAGGGGCATTTAAGAGACTTGCTCGCTGTTTAACCGGCCACGTGCTTAGCGCTACACCATGGCAGCATCCCATGTGGTAGCATCTCACTCAGAAGGAATGACCACGTTAAGGATACACAACAGATAGACCTGCCTATGGCATGGACGGACCGTCAGGGCAAATGATGATGCTGCTGCTACTGCTGTTACCGTTCCTCTTTGCTTGCCCTTGGTGTCGCTGCTGCTGCCGCTGGTTTTATTGCCAGGTTTCCTCGACCTCTTGTCACGACTGCCAGCCGAGTCGTGCCCAGACTCGTTGGCATCCTCGTCGTCATCATCGCTTTCATCATCGCTCTGTGCGAGTGCAGCAAACACATTCCCTCCCTGCGGGAAGACGGACGAGGCAGCAAGAGTGAGAGTGAGGCTCACATAGACTCGTAGACAGTTCACTTAAAGAGGATAAGTAACAGAGATGCGTAGAAGTGCATCATAGCAGAAACTGGAAGACATGTGTGGACACAAACTCAAGAATGAGGTTTTATAAATAGGAATAGGGGAGATTCAAAGGTGACGCGTATTCAAGGTGGACTTGTATGCATGTGGGAGAATCACAATGATGCAAGTCAGAGACACAGGAGATTCCAGCGTAATTCAAGCAGACTCACGGAGCTCAACAAAGACTCAAATGTGCGACTGAGGGAACTCCCGCACAGACTCAAAAACAACTATCAATCCCCACGAAGTGGCGATGACATCACCACAGCACTAGTACCAGGTTAGGCGCAATTTGAGAATGCATGAAGTATCGAAGGCTCGCTGACAAGAGGTCACAGGACAGATCCAGGTTTGATATGCTATGAAGAAGGGTCATTCCCCTAAACCTCCCCAATTAGAATGTTTTTATTTTAATGTTTTATTAACGAATGTGCAAAAATTTGTGTTGTGTGCGCTCGTGCACCGCTGCCAATGTAACAGCAGCATCACCAAATAATTGTGGTAAAATGTTAATGGCTCCACTGTAGGAGCCCCCCCCCCCCCCTGCCTCCCAGTGTAGGGCACTCTCATCACCTTCACAGGCCCCTTCTGCTTCCCGTTTTTCCTCTTCTCTGCCTTCTTGTTGTCACTGCCATTGGCCTCGTGCTCGTCCTCGTCGTGGCTGACTTTGTCTCGCGCCTTGTTTCCACCCTGGAAGAGAAACCGTCCCGTCACCAAATTTGCGGCCACGGTCCCCACCCCACCACGTGGTTTGCCTCAATCGATGATCGGCCACGTCTGTGCCTTTACTCGTTATATCCGTACCTTGTCTGCCTTGCCTGCTTTGCCTGTCACCTTCTTTGTACCCTGCTTGGTGGCTTCTACAAAGAGAGGGAGAATGTATTTACAAGACGTGGTCGAGTGTACACATTCTACAAGTACAAGCCGTGCTCTATATGTAAACATTTTTTTTTAATCAAAAGCATTTTAAAAAAAAAATTGTTTTCATGAAAAAAACACAACCTTGCTCGATTGCAGAACTCTTTCCACGCTTGGGTTGTTTTGCCAATTGCGTTTCTAGTTTAGTGGTAGCGGTGGTAAGAGTAGTGTTGGTAGTGCCAGTGTTAGACATAGCAGTGACGGTGGTAGTGGTATTGACAGTGGTAGCAGCAGTGACGGTAGTGGTGGTGACAGTGGTAGTAGCAGTGACGCTCGGGATAGTGACAGTGGTAGAAGCAGGAAGCAGTGAGTGGTGGTCGTGAGTGGTAGTAGCAGTAATGGTGGTGGTAGTGACAGTGGTAGTAGCAGTGAGACCAGTGGTAGTAATAGTGATAGCAGTGGCAGCAGTGACGGTGGTAGTAGCAGTGACATTGGCACAAGCAGTGACGCTTGCGATAGTGACAGTGGTAGTAGCAGTCACGGTATTGGTAGTGACAGTGGTAGTAGCAGCGACGCTCGGGATAGTGACAGTGGTAGTAGCAGTCATGGTATTCGTAGTGACAGTGGTAGTAGCAGTGATGGTAGTGGTAGTGACCATGGTATAAGCAGTGCCAATGATGGTAATGAATAGTGGAATTTACAGTGGTAGTAGCAGTAACGATGGTAGTAGCAGTGACGGTAGTGGTAGTCACAGTGGCAGAAGCAGTGACGCCAGTGACAGTGGTTGAAGAAGTGACAGTGGTGGTAGTGACAGTGGTAGTAGCAGTGAGAGTAGTGGTAGCGACAGTGGAAGTAGCAGTGTCTGCAGTGGTCGTAACAGTGGCAGAAACAGTGACGGTATCGATAGTGACAGTGGGAGCACCAGTGACAGTGTTGTTGTTGTTCTTGTTGAGGGTTTTCCGGCCGGGGGGATGCTTCCTCACCATCATCCTCGCTAGCGCTGTCCTGCAGGGCCAGGCGCTTCAGCTTCTCCATCGCGTCCTCATCGTCGTCATCATCATCGTCGCCGGCCTTACGGCGGCCGGCTTTCCGTTCCTTCTTTTTCTTCGCCTGCTGAGCCTGACGGGGTGAGGACGAACGCTCGGCTCGTTAGGGCGACTGGGAAAAGTTGTGCCAACAAGCACCTAATTAGGCCGGTGGCAAATGCGCCTATACAACCCACTCGTACATACACTCATGCATGCACTGACTCATTCACACAAAGCTATACATACGCACCAATGCACACACTAATGCTTATACACATGCATATATATAGTACACACATGTAAACTCCTACTTTTGCACATGAACACCAATGCACTCACTAATCAATGCATATATGAATCGATTGGCGGTGACCCGGGGGTGCCAAAACCTCCATAACTCCGAAACCAGAAGGCCTATGAAGACGGGAGATGTCACCGAGTCCGATACGCACGCCAAATATGGAAATAAAAAACAAACGCAAAACACCCATAAAGAAGGGGGGCTCCTGGGGATTTGTGCGTGGCAACGGCTGTTTATTGCTTGTTTTCAAAGTACATCAGGATGCTGGTCTGGTCATTCCCCGGCACGTTCTGCTTCTTACGGGGGCGGCCACCCTCCTTGTCTTTGGGAGTGAGACCACTTGGAGGCAATGGCGCACCGGGCGCTCTCTTGGTACGGCCGGCGGTCATGGTCGTGCTGGCGGGATCGACATCGTCGTCATCATCATCGCTCCCAGCGTCGCCCTCCGGTATGACAGGGTAGTACCAGCGATGCTCCCAGAAAAAAAAACCTTAAACTATGCCCGGCCCACCAATATTTTGTGGTGACCCGGGCTACCGCCTATCGATTCATATACACTTTAGCACACACCTATCGATACACATATACTAATTCACACATGCATGAAGCCAAATATCCCCGTATAACCTTTAGCAGACTCTAGGGGCAAGTGCTGTTAGCAAGCACCTATAAATGCCGGCACAGCACACGAGGGGGTGGGTGGCCAGCACCACGCCCGGCCGCCTTTGTTTCCCCAGTTGCGATGTTTACACATCGATACAGGGACTCATTTGAGGCTGAGTCAACCTAGAGGAAGCACAGCACCAATTCAGATAATCATCACTGGTGTTGGCCGTGGGCGGGAATCGAACTCAGATCGCCGGGTTCGAAGCGCAGTGCGCTAAACACTACACTACCGCTCCCAACTAATACACAGTACATACACGCGCACACACAGAGACACACGTCCACAGATTCTCACACACACACACAAACACGTGCCTGTTGCAGCTGCTGCTGTTGTTTCTCTTTTTCCTCCTTGGCTTCTATGGCTTGCTTGTTATCGGAAGAAATCTCATCGAAAAACTGCAACATCAGCAAAGAACATGAAGAGAAACCGGTGACCAAAAACGAATGGGTTAATTTTACCTGAATTGCACAAGTCCACTACAAAATAAAATGTGTAAGTTCAACACGTAGGCTTTCACGACTAATATTATCCATGAGAGGCTTCTGGGTTACATCACGTAAATGTGTCGTTAAACCCGCCACCACCTAACACAGCCAATTAGTAAGGTTTGTCACAGCACACACATGTGTGCTGTACTAGTAACGAATTGGCATGTTCTGTTTACATGACAAACCCTACTAACTGGCTGTGTCGGGTCGTGGTGGGTTTAACAACACATTTATATTTATGCGATCTAACCCAAAAACCTCTATTGTGGATGCAATTTGTAAATATGCACTGGATGACAGACACATAGGAAAATCGTAATCTAAGTCTCCAAAATAATCCTAAAAGAAGACGACCGTCTCCAGGTTGGCGTTTAATGATTGAGACTCGCATTGAAGTGAATATGGTGGGAGGGGACTCTTAGTATATAGGCAAGGGCAGAAACTGACACCGCTTAAAGTAGCAAAACTCATACCGAAGTATTTTTATGACCGATTAGAGTGACTTATTAGATAACCCACTCATTTAAAATGGTTATAGCATAATTCACTGTTATTGGCCACATTAAGAAACTGAAAGCACAAAAGTAATGCCACCTCAGGTGATGCTGACAAGTGAAATATCTGGTCTGGGTTCACGGACTATCTCTTTTGGTGCGGCTTCCCAACGTAACGACCTGCGTCTTTGCCATCCATAAACAAACCTTTGGATCAGACGCTTCTTTGCCTACGACCAAATCGCCATGAAAATGCCCGGTCATATCAGATCTCGGAAGCTAAGCAATGCCGAGCCTGTTCCGTACTCAGTTTATGCCCACACAACCAATCATTAATGGTCCTGGTTAAACATTGCAAAGCAGAACTGTTCTAAAATAAAGAAACCCGAGTTGAATTTCAATTATACATCCAGAAATTCCTGCAGATATCATTGCAATTCACTGTGCGCCTCGACTATGACAACATGAGTATTTTGGTCGTATAAAGAGTGGAGAGGTGCAGAATGTATTAACATATACATATTAAGGTAATTTGAATCATTGCCAATCGCAATATTCAAGTTCTGTAATAATGCTTAAAATGTGGCATTTCATTCAATGCTCCATTCCCATTAATGCAACTCACACACATACTTCAGTTGTCAATTACTTGTTAATTTTACAATAACATTTTTTTACCAAATTAAGTACAGTGTACGTATATTATTGTCCAGTCAGTGGTCACTGGGCTTAGACCAGTCAACTTGGCTAGACCAAACCCAGGATATCAGTATGGCTGGTTTAACACTGACCTCTGTGCCATGTTAATTTCAGACTTTATTTTAAAATATGCAACAACTCATTTTCATTTATGGCTTTAATAATACCAGCTAAGCTTATGCAAATCAAAATGCCTCAACCCACCTTGATCCCTTGCCTAAATTGAGGGAGATCTGTGTGCTGGGACGCTTATACAAGATGCAGAGAGGAGTTGGGCCTTCATGCGCAGGGCATGACATTTCACAAACGGGCAACTTCCGAGATTATAGATATGATGTCGTCACAAATGTTATCGACAGCATTGGTGGGGGGGGCGAGGTGGAATGTGTTTTGAGTATGGTGGGGTAAGTGAAGGGACGTTGAACAGTGGCAGCTGATAGATGGCAAGTGGTGGTAGGGTTAGGCCTGAACAGTTAAATTTAACAGAGCGGCATTAATATTATACCATATTGTTTATGAATCAGAAGATTTAAATATGACCAATACAGGGCATGAGTGGTGTCAAGAACTCACCGACTTTTTTCCCTTCTTGTCCTTCTTCTCTTTCTTGGGAGCTGCATGAGTGAGCGTGCGCACGTGGTTTGTGAACACACAGATAGCGTGTTACGAATGTATGCGTGAATATGGATACGTGAGTGTGTGTGCGTGTAGATGTGATGCATGTGTTGTTGTTGTTGTTGATGCACGTGAAAAGACAAAAACAGTTGCAACAAACAAGAGATTACATTAACTTCAGGTATAGGAATTGAGAGCCCACACGCCCTTCACAAGTGACAGATCACCTAAGCGAGCATGTAACACCACACAAATACAAAGATCCTCCAGTTAATTCTAGATTTGAAGTTTTCGTGACTGCAATGATCCATACTCTTTGGTTCTTTCGGTAAAGTCACGTAGGTAAAATTTTTTAGAAAGTTAACCAAATCACGACGTTTCGGAAGCAACACAAGCATCCGTCATCAGGTGGGATAGCCACAGCAAGAAGTAATTTGCAAGTGCTAATAGTGAGAAACTATTAGGGGCATCATGGCACACGAGAGAGTGGTGTGGCTACAATCCAGTCTAACTGGGTTTGTTAATCATCAGCTGATGTTTACACCCCTCTACTCATTAGGGGCGACTTGGGAAGCAGGGTTTGTAGCGCAGCAGCAAGATAACCACTGCACCAACACAAAAATAGAATTGACTAGACTGAAAATAGTGTTATTCCAAAGAGCTACGTGCACTCAATGCACACTTGTGATGGACTGGACTCATAAGAGTGCACGATAAGCAATATGCATACTTAACATCACGCCACAATGGCGTGATGTTATTTTCCTCGCCTGGTATGCAGAACGGTTCGATCCTGAGCCTGACGCCTGCACGTTCTCCCCCATAGGGTGGCGTGGATATTTCTCCGGGTCCTCCAGGTTTTCCCTCCACATTTATAAAATTTGGCTGCTATACATTTCCACGTGATTTGTGACCAGGTCACTTCTGAAAAATAAGCTAATAGCTCAGTGGGCTTTACCTGGTAAAAACAAAAATAGTTTATATTTAACGTGATGTGCTTACCTTTCCTATACTTTGCACTCCTGTCCTGTTTTTGGACTGTTTGTTGTTGTAATTTTATGATCCGCCCCTAATGGACATATATGAAAAAGAGCTTTGTAGCTCATCGGAATCCTCCACTATAAATACAGATTCTGATTTTGAAACACCACGACAATAAATGACAAAGCCATTTTGGGACACCTCTCCACACGCAAGGCATGATGGCACCAAACACTCTTCTCACATCAAGCAACCAATCAATACATGCCCCATCACCACACACGTTACACACACCTGTCAACCCCTTATCAGTCTACCTTATTACAGACCAATTCAGACCTTATTGGTCACCCTGTGCCCTTATAAATCTCAACGTTCATCCTATAAAATCCCATCACAAGGGAGAAACACAAACAAATCAAACAAATTGCCCCTATTTCTGAAACAGATGGACGTCGTATGGACCTGCAAACTTAATGTTTCTGTACAAGAATACGGGGCAAACCGTATGGATTGACAAGTAGAATGTAACAAGCCAGCACACATACACAAATAGCACATCCCTGCCACACTACTACGCCCGAACTAGCAATCAGCACATTTACATACAAATAGCACATGTGTAGGGGTGCTATGGGGAATAAACACATGACACGGGAAGGTGTGGTTCACCCACACCTTGGTGGCTACAACAACGTCCGCTAAGGCTCCAGTGGGTATAAAGTGCGGGGAGCCAGGGAGCTCGGGGCAGAGTGTGGGGCCCGAGGCTGAAGCAACCAGTGAAGAAAGAAGGCCAGCTAGGTGAGACCCTGGAACTCCTGTGACCGCTGCCCTTTTCAGGGCCGGCACAGCAAGCCAGTGGTGCGGCCCCAGAGCCCCAGAGTCAGAGTCCTTCTAAGGGCCGGTCTGGTCGGCGGGGTGCCGAGATCTGTGCCTAACCAGGGCCGGATCTGATAGCCTCCCTTAGAGCCCTACCAGGAGGAACTGGGAGCCTAGAGCTTAGGCCAGAGAGCCTGGGGTGTGTTCCTGAGTTATACGGGTGGAGGGGCCGCTACCCCTTCTAGTGTAACCCTTGTTAAGGTTTAAATAAATAGTGCTGCTTCTATTCTGCCGTCTCCGTGTCCTGGAATCCACTACAACTGGTGTCAGAAGTGGTCTTAAAATGGACACAAGGAGTACAAACCGATCACAGGAACCCCAGGAGGAGGACGGCTCGCCTGGGATTGCGCCAGAGGCCGCGGCCGACGATCCTGGGATGTCCCAGACGCCCCAACAGCAGCCGCCGCTGGAGGAGTGGCCGCCGATGGAGGACGGGTTGCAGGCGGCTCACTCTCGACTGGCTGAGCTGCTGTATGCCGCGGCTTCCACGCTGGAGGAAATCAACCGCGCGGGGCTGCGGGCGCAAAGGCGGCAGAGAGACGAACGCCGTTCAACGGCCATTCCCGCCGAAACACAGCCACCAGATTTCGGATTTTCCGCCATGACAGTGTCCGCCACGGCGATTGGAGGGTCGCAGCGCCACGTGGACGCTGTGGGCCAATCAGCGGTGGTGACGTCATCACCAACGGACGCCCGCTGTCAGGACCAATCGGCGGGCGCATCGTCATCACCTGCGCGACCGCCGATGGGTGTCCTCAGCCCCTCAGACACCGGTGGAGAGGCCGGAAATGGCGCGCGGCACCTCTCAGAGACGAAGCCATCGTTTCAACAACGCCTGCCGGTGTTGAAGGAGTTCGTTTCAGACGGCGGCGACTGGGGGGCCTTTCAACGCCGCTTTCTCGCTCATCAAGAGATGGCCGGCTGGACGGACAACGAGGCGTTGAGTGCGCTACCGGCCATGCTGGACGATGACGCCCTTGCTACGCTCATCACAGCTCCCAGATCAACGCGATCTACGCTACAGTCGGCGCTCCAGGTCCTCACCATAGTCTACGGGCCATCGTCGGACTGCCGCAAACTCTTCCACGAGCGGTGCAGGGGCCAGAAGGAGCCACCGCTGGCGTATCGCACGGCTCTCCTGGCCCTCGCAAAAGCGGCTTTCCCCGCGGATGGACGGCGAAGGGGTGGACGCGATGGTGACGGAGAAGCTCCTGGCGTTGGCCCAGGAGCTACAGATCGTCATCGTCGCAGAGGACGACGCGGACATGTGCTCCTTGCGGGCAGCAAGACACATCCACGCGCACCTGATAGCGCAGCGTCGATCACCTCTCGTCCCCAAGGGCGCAGCTGCGGTGTGCGCTGGGACGCCGACCATCCCCCCCTCCGAGGAGGTCTTCGCGGCGGGTCGCCCGGTGGAGTGGAGATCCGGAGGGAGGCCGGCTCGGACCACACCGGATCGCCAGGAGCACCCCAAGGCGCTCATCACGTGCTACAACTGTGGCCGCAAGGGCCACGTGGCTGCGGAATGCCGGGCGCCTCGTCAACGACAGCCGGGACGGTCGGACGGCGCTCCAGCCTACAGGCCTCCGCATCGCAACCCGGCAAGTCGCGGCACCCCACATGCTCGGCCTGTGCACACACCTGTCCCCACCTCGCGCGTTTCGGTGTACGGGCCTCGGGGTACGCCCATTGGTTTGTTGGGTGGCGGCGGGGTCGAGAGGGTGCTCGGGCCGGGGCAGTGGACGGAATTGGCCCACCGCATTGTTGCTGCGTCGGCAGGCTCGTCCGTGGTCGCGGGTCACATTGACGGGGTCGAGGTGCGTATCCTCGTCGATACGGGAGCTTCGGCGACCATTGTGTCAGACTTGATTTATAATATTCTTCCCGTTCAAAGCCGCCCCTTGCTCCCAGTCACCGTTCCGTGTTACGCAGCGAACGGGGGTTCGCTGGGTATCATAGGCCAAATTCGAGCACAAATTTGCATTGGCGATATCAAACTCTCCGGGCCGATATTAGTCTCGTCCTCGCTGGCGGTTCCGTGCTTGTTGGGGACGGACTTTTTGGGCAAAATGCCGATTAAAATTCTAATTGATCAGGGTTGCATCGAGCTTCCCTCGGGCCGACGGGTAACATTCCTGCCTTCCCCTGTCACCTCAAGGGCAGCGTGCGCGTCGATACAAGCGTTCGTCACTCGGACGGTGCGTGTACCTCCCGGGGCGCAAATGCTCGTGCCCCTTCGCTTGCGTCGGCCTTTCGTGCCCGGTGTTCTGGACCAGGGAATTCTGTTAGGGCCCTCGAGGGCTGGGGAAAACGGGCTGGATCTGGTGGCCGCTCAAACGCTCGTTAAGGGGAGCGATGACCCGTTTATCCTCGTCCTTAACGTTGGCGTACAGACGGCCGTCGATCCTCAGGGAACTGTGCTCGCGCACGCGACACCGGTCCCCGTGGTAGACACGGTTATGGGTAATGTGGGGACCGATCCTCTGGCTCAACCGCATTCTGAGGGGGACGATAGTTGGATGGACACACTATGTTCGGGCACGAGTGATCTGTCCGACTCCCAGCGTGCCGGCCTACGCACCCTTCTGACGGAATTTTCCGATGTTTTTAGTAAACACAAATATGACATTGGGTGCACGAAATTGTTGCGTCACCACATTGACACGGGTGACAATGCCCCGGTACGCCAGAATCCTTTTCGGTTAAGTCCGGCCGAAAAAGATCATGTCAAATTGGCAGTGGATGACATGCTGGCTGCAGACATTATAGCCCCTTCCACCAGTCCATGGGGAGCACCCATAGTGCTTGTCAAAAAGCACGATGGGTCCTTGCGATTCTGTGTGGATTTTCGCCGCCTTAATAAGATCTCCGTGGCCGACGCGTATCCACTTCCCCGGATGGACGAATCTCTGGATGCTCTGGCTGGCGCACGTTTTTTTTCTACGTTGGACTTGTTATCCGGATTTTGGCAACTCCCATTGGATGATGAGTCCAAGCCAAAGACTGCGTTTCGCACACCACACGGCCTATTCCAATTTAACCGGTTACCTATGGGATTACACTCCGCTCCGGCGACATTTCAGCGCCTTATGGAACTGGTTTTGGCTGGCTTACAGTGGAACGTCTGTTTGATCTATCT